CGACAGAGTCCCAATTTCTTATACAAATACGGTAATTATAGAATTTGATAACACCACTTTAATCTCAGTGAGGTGGGCCTCATAAATAAGTGGAATAAAATGGCTGTCAGGTCAGGCCCCTTGCCCAAATATATCAGCCTCACTGCCTATCACCAACACTATGACTTTATTCCTTTGGCTATTGAGAGATTGATTTTTTTTTTTTTTGACACACTCTGTTGTCAGCTAACATTTTAGCTAATTGAGAGCAACACTGAGAGCCAAGCTAGGCGCCAACTGGGAGTAGGGATGGAGAATCTGAGCGTTTGAAGTATGGAAGATCTGGATTCAAATCCCAGATCCATGATTTAAATAGTTGGTTGACTTTACTTAACCTAAGAGTCTGATTAGCTTTGTCACTGGTATGATTATGTCTCTGGTAGTGATTATGACTATCCCTTGCAATTTTTCCTAGGGCAAAGCTGCAAGCCTAGCCTGAGATCAGCAGAGATAAAAGAAAAAGTAAATGTTGGATCCTGCCGAGGTATCTAGATTCAAAGGCTGTCAAGGGTAGGGACCATATGTGAAGCTGCTTCTGCCGTCCCCAGTGCCTAGTTCACAGGTGAACATCATGCAGGCGCTGATTACCACCGCAGGAATCAGAACCAAGAGCTTGCATCCACGGCAGCACCTCAGCCCAGTTGTGGGGAGTGGGTAGCCCCCAACAATCAATAGCTTGGCAATTTTTGGCCTGAAAATAGGATGAGAGCTGGCTTAAAGAGCTGTGCTCGTGCTAATCTATCAGGGGTACTAAAAGAACCCTGGAAATGTGTGAGAGAGAAAACTATATCAGGACTTCTCTCAAGGAAAGTATCTTGTGTGATTGAAAGGAATGCTTTGATAAACATCTTGAGGGTATGGTTTGTATGTTTGTGTGTTTGGAGGTGAGGGTGACGAGCTATCCTAAACGCAGTCTTGAGTAGCAACAAATGGTCACCAAAAAGCCTTCTAAGAGCAGGGGGTCTGGTTTTCTTGTAGAGTTTTTTGTTTTGCTGAGTAGTATAGCCAGTGTGAGGCCAGCGCTGAACCACTAGTGATCCTGGACAGGAGGCGGAGTACTGCCCTTAGGAGTTCTCCTTCTCCACCTTTCCTCCACCAAAGGATCAGCCTTTCCTCTATTCACATGTTGAGTACTGAAAGAAAATCCGTTTGAATGAGTGCCAGATTTTTAGCCTGCCTCAGGTCTTCTGATCCAGCTCTGCCTAGGGGACCTTAATTTTATATCTCAGGAGTCCCTTCTCACTAATTCCAGTTCATCAGCTCTGCAAATCATTATTACCTCACTGTATCCTCTGGGGCCACTCTTCTGAACCTCGGAGAGGCTGCCTGGGTGGAGTTCCCCATGTGTCCTTGTAACCAGTTAGACATTAGTTGAAATGAGTTTGCTACTTTTAACAGCTAATGGCTGGACTAGCTGAACTTACTTGATTTCTTTCTCTATTTCATAATATTTCAAGTAAAACTGTATAGTAGTTCTATAAATATGATATAGATGTGTAGATGGTCACAGTTCATGCATTTCATCAAACACACTTGCCTCTGTACCTTTGTTCCTCCCATCTTCTATGCCTCAAATATCTTCTACTCCTCAAATACCTAATGAAATATTTCTCACCCTTCAAGGCTCAATTCAAGCACCTCCTACTCTATGAAGCCTGCCCTGATCCTCCAAATCATAGTCAATCACTTTCCTGCTACATTCTCATACTATATTGCTAGTTTCTCTCCCAGCTGGGAATTATGGGCAATAGTCTCTATGTCTGTTCTCACACAACTCTATAAGCTCCACCAGGGCAGGGAGCATTTCTTGCTCATATTCATTTTACCTGGCAGGTATCTGGTTCTTATCAAACTAGAGTGCTGGACTTCAAGCCTCGAGACAATCATGGATCATCTCCTTATGGTAGTAATTTTACTCAATGGTAAGTAATTTTTAAAATTATCATATATTTTTAAATGCTCAGATATTTTATAAAGAGGCATGCAAAGTTAGCTTGAGTTTTAAAGATAAATTCATTTATATCATTTGTTCACATTCCTCTGACATGAAAAGTTTGTTGCAGTGGGCACTCAACACAAGTTTGAGTTGAATTTAATTAAATTCCAGAGGATGTTTATGGTTAATGATTTTTTTCCCTAAAAAAAACAACAGGGAGAGGTTGGTAAAAGGGTTCAAATTCTCAGTTATAAGATGAATAAGGTCTGAGGATCTAATGTATAACATAGTGACTATAGTTGATAAGGCTGTATTGTATAAATGAAATTTGCTAAGACAGCAGAACTTAAATGTTCTCACCAAAAAAAAACAAAAGGTAAACATGTGAGGTGATGGATGTGCTAATCAACTTGATGGAGGGGATCCTTCCACAATGTATACATATATCAAGTTATCACATCACACACTTTAAATATCTTACAATTTTATTTGTTAATTTTACCTCAGTAAAGCTGGGGGACAAAGAAAACAACACAGAACTTTATATTAATAGCAAGAAGACATATATGTTTTAAATTAATGAGCTAGAAAAGGCAAGCTGGAAAAAATCAATGCTATTTCACCTAAATTGTAAATTTTGTTTTAACAAAGTTCACTATCTAAATATGTAGACTGAGAAACCTTTTGGAGCACTACCCTTTGAGAAAGACCAAATGCTTTTAAACCACCAAATGTGTTATAAAAAATTTTTGTGATACATCACACACAAAATTTTTATGATACATCATACACGGAAAATTGCATACACAATATTCGTACAAGCTTAGTCTTCACAGCCTTTATAGCATCTGATAAGTAAAATTTCAAATGAATGATAAATAATAAATATTTATCAAGTGAAACATCCTTGAGAATTTATAGTCTTACCTTAATTGTGAAGCCACTGCCAAGGAGTAGGAGGTGGAAACTAATATTGGATTTTTACTTAGGTCTATTAGGTTAAGTAGAGCCAAATAGAAATGAACCAGCTGTGACATTATTTGTAAGCCTTGCTTTATACTACCTTACTTTAAAACCTAAATTACAAAAAATAGTTATAAAAGCAATACATGCTCAGTGTAGAAAAATTGAGAACCTGATCTATTTTACCCTCTTTCTCTTTCCTCCTCTTTGCAGGTGGAAGAGTCAATGGGAAACCAAATGGTCCATCAGGAGTTCCTGGAGAAGAGCAGAGGGCATGCGGGTGTGGCAAACGGGAGTGAGTGATCCACTCTGAGTGGCTGACGCTAGCTTGATTGTGCTTGGGACTCACCACAGTGAGGGGCCAGATGTGTTGCCCAAATTTTGAGTTTTATCTTACAAATGCAGTTTCAGAGCTTTATTCTCCCACTTGCCTTTGTAAAAGCAATGACCTTCCAATCAACTTCTTTCGATTTTAGCAATGTATCTTTTTAATAGTATATTATTTCATCAGTGATCTCCCAACAACTCTGAATCAAATGGTATCTCCTTTTTATATCTCAGTGACTCCTAAAGTTCAAATGTCCTAACACAATAGACAAATCCCTTCATGATCTGGCCTCTACCTAGCTCTGCAAACCCAACTTTAGTCACTCTCATGTACATGCTGGGCTCTTATCACAAAGACAGTCATGTGGTCCCCTGTCCTTTCTAGCCTCTGGGCTTTATAAATGTTTCCTCAGTGGACGTCCTTTCCCTCCCCTGGGCTAGCTGTCAACTCCTTGTGTCCTTCAAGATTCTGTGCAATTACCACTCTTCCCTGTCTTTCGTGACATATCTCAGTAGAGTTAAGTCCTTGCTTTTCTGTGCTGCCACAGTATCTTGTCCACACTTCCATAACAGTATTTATGTTAAATTATTAATATAAAAATCTTACTCTACAAGATCAGGGGTCCATATACTCTCTGGGTGTCCATGAATCCCCTGAATTATAGGCAAAATTTTATGTAGATTCATTTTCTTCTGGAGAGAAGGGTCAGAGCTCACATTAGACTCTCGAAGGAGTCCATATCTGCTCTCTCAAAACCAAATTAGGAACTGCTACACTAGATTATGAGTCCCTAGGAAACAGAGAGTGACTTCTGTTCTTCTTTGTGTCTCTACAGTTGGATGCCTAATGTTAGCTGAATGAGCATTTCAGTTATTATTTAAAGGTAGATTTTATACTAGTGAAGATAGACGGTAATTTAGCCTCCTTTAGTTGTTGATGTCTTTAAGTAGACAGGACGTATGATACAGTGAAAAGTACATTGGACAAAAGGAAAGATATGGAAGGATTTATGCCAAACTACTAACAGCGGTTGTGCTTGGAAAGAGGGATGGGCGTAGCGGTGGGATGTGCTTTCAAGTTCTACTTATACTCTTCCATCTTGACCAAGTTTGTTTGTATTACAATGTGCACGTTTTAGATTTGAAATTTAAAAATAATCTTTTAAACTTTGGGAGTTTTTTCTTAAGTGCATCAAACATTCCAGCTCCAAATTCCGGCTCTGTTACTCATTTAGTTTTGTGACCCTGGGAACTTTACTTAACCTTTATAAACCTACGTTTCCTCAACTGTAAAATGAGGATAAGCCTTACCTAACCCACATAGTTACTATGTCACAAAGCCTGGCATAAAGTAGAGACTCAGTGAGTATCAGTTGAATGTAAAGTAAATGTTGTTGTTCTTAAGGTTTTTTTGCAATTCCCCAAAGACATACAAAATAGAACTCAATTAAAACATTGTTCTTTCTGGTCTCAATACCATGAGTAAGCATTTGTATACACAGTTAAAGTCTGATGTAACATGACTGGTTTATAAGGTGGCTATCAGCTGACTGCTAATTAATAAAGGAATCCCATAATATGTTAATTTGTTTGTTTTTAAACAAAGGAAGGTTACAAAATTCTTTAAAACAATTTATAACTATACTGGTACAAAATAAGTACAAGTACATTGGTTTAAACTAAGCTCTTTGTTGATGTGCGTTCTTACTAGTAGTTCTTTACAATTTTCACTCACCTCATGGCCTGTCTCCACCAGCAGACATCACATCATGTTGTGTGAAGTCTTCCTGATTTCTTTAGAGGTTCTATAAAAAATAAAACGCTGTTGATAATGACAGGTACTTGGTAATTTATACTACCCTTTTTTTCCTATAATTTCATAACTAAAAGTTTTTATTATGTGTGCAATTGATTGTTAAAAATTTCTCATAGTTAAAAATATATAAGGTGAAAAATAACAGTTCTTCTTTCTCTAGTCTTTTACTTTTTCAGTCATTTGGTGTTGAGTCGGCACAATGACCTCAGTATTTGTACCTTTGGGGTGACCAATAAAAGTAAATTTCTATGTATTTAAAAACATAGCTGGAACACTCCGGCATGTCTTGGGGGGCTTTCCTGAATCAGAAGAGTTCAGAGCAGTTCATCTGACCCTTAAATAATGAAAGGCACAAATCTAAAGAGTTTCCTAAGTATCTCACACTAAATGAAATCACCTACGTCAAGTGACAAGAAAAATAGGTTTGTAATGGATTTTTCTGTAGGGGCTAATTGAGGTGATCTACAGTCAAAATTAAGTACAAACCCATTTGGAGAACACTGCATGATTTACATGGTTTTTTTGAGCAGTACAGAAGGTTCTAAGCCAGCTATATGTTTTATTTATTTTTCATTATCTGAAGCCTCTTGGGCAGTTTGGCCAAGTCTCTGAATCTTCCTGGTTTTTTTGTTTCTTGATCTGTACAATTGGCATAGTAATAATAATAATAGTCACGTCACTGTGCAGATGTGAGGGTTAAGGGAGATGAAAGCTGGGGGGCAGGGGCTGGGATGTTGGAGTGGGCCGTGGGGGGGACCAAAGGCTAACTTAGTCACCTTTGTCATTTTGTCAAGGTCCCTGTCCTTTATCCTAAGCAAATCTATGTTTATTCCTAGCCTGGCTTGCTCTTTTTTTCCCCCTTAACTTTACAGAAAATTTTTCTTAACAGATTCCTTTTTGTGCATAATGCTGTTCTTTGTCCTGAAAGAATATAAGAGGCAATGTAATGCCTGATACTAGCTCTGTCAGTCACTGCTAGTTGCCACCCAGTATCCATTCTCCTCTTTTTTAGTAACCCAGTTAAAAAATTATTTTCTGCCTTCTCCTATATAGCTATATTCTTGTGTAACCACAAGAATAGATTCTACCCATGAGGTGTAAGCAGAAACAGTGTGAGTGACTTCTGGGAAATCTCCTTAAAAGAGAGAACATATCTTTTTCTTGCCATTCTTCCTTCCTGCTGTCTAAACACCAGTGAGATAGGTGGAGTCCTGGCAACCTTCTTGGACCAGGAGGTGGTACACTATGGATGGCAGATGAGCAAGGTAGAAGGAACCTGAGTCCCCCACAAAAGGACCTGCTCTAACAGCTCTGGGTAGTCTACCTCTGGGTTGTTTTGTTTTGTTTTGTTTTTTGATGTAAGAGAGAAATAAACTTCTAGATTGTTTAAGCCACTATTATTTTGGTTTTTCCATCATATACAGATGAACCCAACCTTACTGATATGCTGGCCCTCTAGGAAGTTGTCTAGAACCAAGAACCATTTTTAATTCTTGAAAGATTTCTCTCATTTCCTTTGAGCCTGTGTGCGCTTTTTACTTATTAACAACAAATTCCCCACTCTTCAGATGTCTCTAGTGTGTCATTCCAGTCCTGGTTTTTACACTTTCTCCCTTGTGTCACCCATATTTTGGATATTATACAGTCATTTGCGTTCTTCAGATCGGAATTGGAAAATGGTGTCACTCTATTGGGGAAGAAAAAAGAAACTTTGGCAAAAATTAAGTTTTTAGCTTTTTTTGTGGATTATAGGAAAAACAGTTCATTCCAATTCAACATGCATTTATAGCATATACCTTGTAAAAGGCATTGTGCCAGGTGCTGGGAGAAATATAAAAAATTGTTCCTCCTTCCAGGAGCTTACAGTCTAGTAGGAAGAATGAGACACATGTATAACAGCAGCATGGGATGGGTTGTGACAAATGCAATAAGAAAAGTATAAAGTGCCTAAAACTTTCAGAAAAGATGAGTTCCAGTTGTAGGGGTTAGAGAAAGTTTCATGAAGAAGATAGGATTTCAGCTGGGCTTTGAATAATTTGTAGACATGGTAAAAAGAGGATCAGCAAAGGAACAGGAGTAGAAAGTTACAAGGCAGAGGTGGACTTAGGGATCCTAGGAAGCACTGAGGGTAGAGCATGGGGGAAGCCTAGAGAGGCAGACTGGAGACAGATACAGGACCGTGGATATCCTGTCAGGAGCCTGCTCTGTGGTGGAGAGAACAAGGAATCACTAAAGTTTTTAAGCAATGGAGTAACCAGATCACGCATCTTCGGTAAGAAGATGCCTCTTGTGGCACTGTAGAGGAAAGACCGGCTGCAAAGAGGCCAGTGAGTAGGCATGTTTAACAATCCGAAGGTAATGATGGCCTGAATTAGGGAAGCAACTATTAGAAAGGAAAGGAGGGCACAGATAGAAGTGACATTTCAAAGGTTACTGGAGGAGCTAAATATACGCTTTGCCCAAGAAAAAGAGTTGGACTATAATTCTCAGATTCAGCAGTGGAGAATAGATCCATTAAAGAATTTGAGAAAGTACTCTACACTCATTTGACCTGGGAAACTAAAAGGAGGCTGAATATGCTGTCCTAACGAACTTTATTGGTTCTACAATTTTAGCAGAGCCTTAACTTATATTTTCCCCAGATATCAATGGGGAATGCACTGTATAACTGCTAGGAGATAGGGAAAGAGTATTGAAAAGTATCTCAGCAAAGAAATGCATCCTTCTTCCCATTGTTCATCCTTTGCCCAGGTGTTATGGTAAATAGCAGGTGTCAGGGTCCCTTACACAGTAAGGTTCTTCTGGTTCTCCCCAATTATCTCTTTATCCACCCTTCTGCACCATCTCTACCCACCCCAGCCACTCACACAATCCATTAGAAATCGGGTGAAAATTTAAGAGAAGGAGGAGCCTTTCTAGAGAACATAACAATTTTCTAATATTTGTCTCTTTGTTCCTCACTAAAACCATGCCAGCATAGCCTGAGGAAAAGTGGAAAGGGCTGGCATAGACCCATACAAGGGCATATAAGTAGCCACCCCACCGCCCAAATCCTAAATAGCTACTCCCTCAATCTCAGGGAATAAACTCTAGAGATTTCCTCAAATGGACAAATTTGAGCATCTGATCAGCTGCCACTTCTAATTTTTCTGATTATTTTAGGAAGACTTAAACAGGTGTTAATATCTGCTAACCTCTCTTTTCTCAATAAGGGCAGGAACAGAAAACAAAATAATCACAAACCTACCAATCAGAAGAGTGTCCTGTGTAATATTTGTAATATTTAGCAATTTATGGTTTAATTCATCTTATTTGGGGCACTGAAATCATCTTACAAATAAAAGCACGAGGATTTTTTTCTTCCATGATTCCCGAGGTGATTCCTGGCACTCTTGAAAGCACAAATGATTAACCAAGTCATGGGGACAAGCAGCAGTAATGTGATTGTTGAACCTATGGATATTGGTTAAACTGTGTTTCACTCTCATGTAAATTGTGTGTGTGTGTGTGTGTGTGTATGTGTGTTGGGAGGGGGTCAATGGGAGAACCAGCATCTTCGACATTGTCCTTGAGAGAAGATTAGCAGGAATTATTAAAGATTCCTACATTTTATAAAAATCCAGAAACGAAGAAAAATACTGAGTAATTTATAATCCAGTCCTAAACCTCAAGATCAAAAGTTCCTAACCTGAGGTCCCAAGATTGGGATTCAGGCCATCTGCAAATCTCCTGAAGTTGTATGCAAAATTTTGTGTGATTTTACATTTTTTTGCACAGAGGGTGGGCTGGTTTACAAAGATTCTTACAGTGATCCTCCACTCCCCAAAAAGATTAAGAACTATTGCCATTACAGAAAAAAGAAGGAAGGGAGGGAGGGAGAGAGAGACAGAGAGGAAGAAAGGAAGACTCTTTGTATGCCCATCGCCTGGAGTTTACTAGCGGCCTGCCATGTTGATTTACACTCTTATACACAGAGAAGAGAGAAGGAAGGAGGCGGAATAAAGAGAATCCTTATCAATTCTGTCCCAAATCAAATCAACCAAATGTATGTGAAATTTGTACAAGGCACTTATCTGTTAACCTTTATATTTGTATTAAAAGTTAACAATAGTATGATCATCTTCCTTTCAAAAGCCTCTGAGGTTCCAAACTGGGTTAGATTGCGTTTTCAGAGCCCACAGTATTAGCAAAAATGTAGATATTAATGAAATTCATGGAAACTACTTAGTGTAAACGTGTGTCAAAAAATTTGTTTCTCTAGTATAAATTTCTGATCATTTAGTTAAATCCTTCAGAAGTGCCTTCAGTGAAATGGCTTTACTATTTGCAGAAGTATAATTTTGTATTGAAAGGAGCTATTAAAAAAGACAAAAGGGTAATAAAAAGACACATTTTTCTATTTTAAGAATACTATTTTTTCAGCATATAAAAACCCATACAATTCCAATACTAATTATGATAGAATCCCATTCTCGCTTAAGAATAGAAAGCTTTCAAATGAAATCCAATTCTTCTCATCATGCCCCTAAAGCCCCACAAAAGGTTTAGAATTAAGTTTCACTAATGTCCCTGAGTAATAAATCAGCACATATTTTTCTGTACATAAAGGAGTGAACTCTGATAGAATCCTCTATCCCTTTTCTGTTACAACAGGCATAAATCAACCTCTTTCCATTCCTAATCTTTTTCATTCTTTATCCTTAATCCCAAAGAGGCATATACACACATGCTGGATTTATCTGCTTTGTAAATCAAGAATCCTGTCATCCTTTAAGATTGCTCTCAAAATTTAATTTGGCTTCAACTAAATACATAAATATGCAAAACTCTTCAGTCCCCAAACATTTCAATAGTTGACAACCTACAAAGGCAGATTATGACATAATACAAAAACCAATCAAGAAAATGAACATTTCACAAGTATTACATTGTTATAACTTTTGAATAGAAAGTTTTCTTTAAATGTCTACCTTAAATAAATGTTAGCATATTGTGAGTCTAAATTAGTAAGGATTAACGGGATTTCTTCTCTTATAAAAATATTTCCCCTCTCAATGCCTCTTAAACCACATAAAAACACACACTTACCCCATGTTGCTTGCTGTGGTTATATCATCCACAGATCAAGGCGTATCTGGATGCTGAATTAACTTAAAGGTTATAAAAAGAAGCACTAGAGAGGTTTGACTTCCCTGGAAAGGAGACTGTCATATGCTAGCTAGGCTTTTAAATGAGGAAAACTAGTGTCTCTTCTAATTATATAAGCTCCAGGTCAAATTCTAGCATCCACTAATCAAATACCTGAACTGTGTTTAGTTTCAAGGAGCAAAAGAAAGAAGACTGTTTAAGAGGAATGACTTTGGTATTTAGAAAAGTGAAAACCTGAGCATTGAAAAGTTACTTATATGTCAATAAAAAGTTAGATTTTAAAAGCAAAGTATATATCTTGCTACATTAAATAATTTGAAGAAAAATATTAGGGAAAATTTAGTTTGCAGTAAAGCAGACATTTTTCTATATTTTCCAGAAGTTTTGAATGTGCATTATATGTCCTGGTTCCTGAAAACATCCTTTCACTGTACCTCAACTTGTCTAGTATTTCTCTCCTTATAAATTCCAGTACAATAATATTTAATTCTAAAACCATACCAGTTAATGCTAAGCAACAAATCTGTTATAAAAACTTATAAACAGGGTCTTTTGAAATTAAATGCAAAGCTGTTATTATGAGAAACTAACAAAAATACCATTTTATGTCAATATTTTCAGACATTTCAACTCAGATTTATAGTAGTACAACAAAAAATAAAAATGAAAAATTTTTGAAAATGATATATTGAGAAATACAAATTTTCACAAGATTTTGAAAGAAGAAATGTGACAGAAGCTGTCTACTACATATGCCATTTTTTGTCAGTTTTGGAAAAATAGTCTCAGCAAAAACACTCAGATCTTTATTGTAATTTTTAGTATGTAGCCATGATGTTCTGTTCTGGTAATCTTTGAATTATTTTATCTAAAAGGTAAAGAACCTTCCAGGCATGGAGTATGTGAGGACACAAAAATCTACTTTTTAAAAAAATTGAGATGTAATCCACAAACTGTACATAAAATTTGCCCTTTTACTGTGAACAATTCAGTGGCTTTTAGTATCCACGAGGTTGTAGAACCATCATCACTAATTCTAAGAGCATTCCCACCACCCCAAAAAGAAACGCCATGCCTCCCAATTCCTCCCTCCCCTGGCAACCACTAATCTACTTTCTATCTCTATGGATTTGCCTATTCTGGATATTTCACAGAAAGGCCCCACAATGTGGGGACTTTTGTGACTGGCTTCTTTTATTTAGTACAATGTTTTCAAGGTTCATTCATGTTATAGCATGTATCAGTACTTCATTCTGTTTTACAGGTGAATAATATTCCACTGTGTGAATATACCACACTTTGTTTATCCATTCAGCAGCTGATGGACATTTGGGTTGTTCCCAGCATTGGGCTGTTATGAATAATGCTGCAATGAGCATTCCTGTACAAGTCAATTCGCTTGGGTATGTACTTAGAAATTGCTGGGAAATATGGTAACTATACGTGTAACTTTTTGAGAAACTGTTTTCCATAGTTTTATACCATTTTACATTCCCACCAGAAGTGTTTGAGGTTTCCAATTTCTCCACGTCCTTGCCAAACTTTGTTACTGTCTCTTTTTAATACAGCCATCCTAATGATTGTGAAGTGGTATTTTATTGTGTTTAATTTGCATTTCCCTAAAGAGTGATGATGTTGAGCAGCTTTTCATTTGCATATTAGACATTTGTATATCTTCTTTGAAGAAATGTCTACTCAAATCCTTTGCCCATTTTTAAATTGGATTGTCTTTTTACTTATATATATTTATATATGAGTTCTTCTTACATTCTGGAAACTAAACCTTTATCAGGTATATGATTTGCAAATATTTTCTCCCATTCTGTAGATTGTCTTTTCATTTTCTTGATATTCTCCTTTAACATACAGATACACTTTTTAAGGATGACAAAACTCAGGCACAGGATTAGAAATTGACTTTGCCAAGATTTGAGTAATTCTGCTGTATTTATTAAAATGAGCAAACTCTCAATCGGATCACATAATTTATTTTAAACTAATTATAAGATAATGAAAATAAAGTTCAAAAAGGCATAAGTGAGTGATGGCTTTATTAGCAAAATTATAATATAGAAGCAGTGTATGAAGTTACTTCAGATGACACATTTTACAGTTTTCCTTACAACTAAAAGCTTCAATTATCACATTAAAGCTTTAATGCAGAATATCTACATGTGGAGCTTTAGTCTCAGGCCTGGAGCAGCTGTGAAATGAAAGTTACCACACCATTCTAGTCCTTGGATATCAGTATACTGTCCTTCACCTTCCACCCTGTAATAGTAAAAGATAAGTTTGTTCATTAACCAAGACCAAGAATTTATAGCCCAGATATAAGATGGTCTAGTATATTATGTACTACGTCTGAAGAATCATATCTTTTCACTTTCAAAGTTTGATTGAAAATCTGGCATCCTGCTTTCATATCTTACAAAAAACATTACTATTCCAAATGAACATTGTCATTATACAATTTTGGCGTCCAAGACTTTAGGATCATATATGCTAAGTTTACACAAAACTGTAACAATCAGTTAAAAAATGAAAAGTTTATATTAGTTCATTCATTTATTCAACAAATATCTACTGACCATCAATTATGTTTGAGGCACTGTGCTCTGTGCTGGTGTTTTGTTAGACTCTTTGGAGTGGTGAAAACACACTTTGCATAAACAAACGGACCTCTAACTCATTTGGTTAGATTTTTCTCTCTTTATTAACATCAGCGGAAAAAGTTTATATATTACTGTCATAGACTTGCACTCAAAATAGGTGAACACTTGTCTACCCTCCTCAAAATGTATTCACATCAACCACTTCATAACAATTAGGTTGTAGGTTGCACTTTCAATTGTGGAAATAATCAAGGGGTATTTATAAATGAACATGAACCTCTGGGTGACATGGCATGGTATTTAGGATGAAGATTAAGTTTGTAATGCTGTGCTCATGTTTCATTTCACTTTCATTTTTCCTACAAGCATATGCTCAGAAAGGATAACAGTGGGTAGATTTCTGCAGTTCGAAAATTAACTAATTTTGCTTACATTTTAAAAATTAGCCTAGTAAAAATGTACACACATATCAGGTCAAAATGAAATAAACAATTATGAAATTAGCCTCAAGGCTGTTTTTTAAAAAGTTTGTCAAGCTATTTCAAGGAAAAGTAATTTTTGGTGTAAATTTTCTCAGTAATTGTGACAAGCTTTCCCTTTCCAAGCTGACTGCAAAAAGTTCTATAGACTAGAGAAGTCAAGAGGAAATAAATGAAAAGTCTAACAGATTATTACCAAGAATGATATCTTCTTTTGGAGGCTCATGATGGTCTTAGCCTCTCTTACAACATTTTCCTCCCCAACATAAGCCAACAACTCTTACAAAATACATTATAAACATCTTTGAACTAAATACATTGCAAAAGAATATTTAACATTAACTAAATTTAATATTTAAGCAAACATGGCTGAAAAGAATCTTTTAGAACTGCAGTGACTTTTTATTTTAAGCTCACCTATTTTCATTGAAATTTCCAGTGTACTTTGCCCCAGTTGGGAATGTATAAGTCCCCAATCCATGAAACATATTGTCCTTAAAGTGTCCTTCATATACTGCTCCTGAAAAATGCTCAAGTCTTCCAAAACCATTCATCTGTTTGTAATAAAGGAAACGACCTCAGTAACTAACCTTCAGTTGTCCTAGAACACTTCAAAAGGGTGCACATATGTCTACCACTCAGTTCTTATTCAATCCATCATCATATCACCTTTTATTTCCACAAAAATAAGGCAACATTTTTATCATTTTCCTTCATATATATCTCTCTTTGAAGGCTGTCAAGTCATATGTTCCTGATCTGAGACACCTGAACATCTCAGCAGTCCATGATGATGAAAATAGGGGTCCTTGAGGTACCTTGACCATATCTTAAAGGGCAACCAGTTTAGTTATCTATCCCAGGAAACAGTATAAAAATGTCCTAAAGAACAAAAATTTATACTCAAGCAGACCTGGATACACATTCTTGTTTCATCACTTCCCAGCTGGGCAAGAAACCTGACCCTGATTTCCCTCATTTGTAAAACAGAAGTATTAATGTTACCTACCTCATGAGGTTGCTATGAGGATTAACTAGAAAATTATGTAATGAGTTTAGTTTACTCAACGAAGAGGAGATGAGAAAGACAATGATGATGATTAGCTCTCTGCATAGGTTTAATATTACTCATATACATTAAATATAATCATTTGTTATTTTTATTGTATAGTCTATTCATATGTGTTTTTGATTAATGGTGAAACGCCTGGAATCATTCAATCAATAGGATTACTTATTCACTGTCAGTGTTCAAAAGAACAATAATACCTTGTCATCTTTCCAGCTTCCTGTGTAGACAATCCCATTAGGAGTAGTATGAATACCTATTCCATTTCTCTCAAAGATTCCCGAAGATGTTCGTGTACAGTCACCATCTAAACAAGAGAGAAATACTGAAGATTATAAATGAGAACCCTGTTTGACTAAGTAATAAAGTATTTATGTTCAGGCCTAATCACAACTGCACCCCTACGGGTCTCATTGGCTCCCTAGTACTGAAACCAATGTGGCCACGGATGAGAAGCTCCATGGACCTAGAAGGTCTGGTAACCACTGAGACTCAAGGGCAGGAAGATTCACAGATCTCATAGGTTTCCAAGGCATGCTATCTAGACTTAACATTAGAGTTTAGATCTAAAATCTGTTCACCAATTAGTTTTTCTACGTTATTTTATTTAATGGAGTTAATATCCCAATAGCAGTTTTATAAAATGTGACCATCTCATTTTTTCACTCTTAAGCTATTTAATTTTAGTCTGTATAGAAAAAGTAATTGAAATGTATGCTTACCATATTTGTCTCCATTTGGAAATATAAAGTTTATCTTATACACTTCTGCAGCTGTTTAAGATTTAAGAAAAGTCACATGAATAAATATTTTTACATCATAAGAACTATAACAAATGTGCTTTACGAGTTAACCAAATAGACTCACTTCATATGATCACAAGCATATCATGATTACTTGGCATTTCCATAGTATAGAGTACGGTCCTGGGAAAATAAATAATTTTGTCTAGATGGTCCATTTTCATTTATTTGTCTGTTTATTATAACAGCTTTATTAAGATATAATTCACATACCACAAAACTTACCTTTCAAAAGCACACAATTTAATGTTTTTAACACATTCAGAATTGTGCAACTATTACCACAAGCTAATTTTAGAATATCTTAATCATCCCAAAAAGAAATCCTGTACCCATAAGCAGTTTCTCTCCATTCCCTTAATTCCCTCCCAGCCCTTGCTCCAGCCCCTGGCAACCACTAATCTATTTTCTGTCTCGATGGATTTGCCTATTCGGGACATTTCATAGAAATGGAGTCATATAATATGTGGTCCTTTGTGACTGTCTTCTTTTACTTAGCATAATGTTTTCATGGTTCATCCATGTTGTAGCATGTATCAGTACTTCATCTCTTTTTATGGCCGAATAGTCCATTGTATGGAAAGAACACATTTTGTTTATCTGTTCATCAGTTGATGGACAGTTGGGTTGTTTCCAGTTTGGGCTATTATGAATAATGCTGCTATGGACATTCAAGTGTAAGTTTTTGTATGGACATATATTTTTATTTCTCTTGGGTAGCCTATATGATCTGTGGATTGTCTCAAGAGGTAAGGTAGAGTGCAGAATCTCTGATTTGGCAGTAGGAGGAAATAGAAAGTAAAGAAAGATAGTAAGCAAGGAGGGGTAGGGTTGGGGCGGGGGGGGGGGGGGGGGGGGGGGGGGCGGGGAGGGTCCAAACAGAATGAGACTGGGATGCAGACCAGGTGAAAAATGAAGAAAACCACAGGGGAAAAAAAACTGAAAAAGAAAACCACAGGACTGGGGTTGGAGGGTGAGGAATCTATGTCTCAGAGCCCTGGGGCATTTAGTGGATTAAAACATTAGAAACTTTTTCCAATACTGAAGAAAACTCATATGTAGAGAAGATAAGTAAACTCTAACTTCTAGGACAATAGCGTCCACTAGAATGTTACTCAAAGTATGATCCCTGCATCCGAGTCACCTGCAAGTTGGCCCTACTCTAAACTACAGATTCAGAATTTCTATGGGTGGAGCAAAAAAACTGATATATATATATATATTTAAAGATTTTATTTTTCCTTTTTCTCCCCAAAGCCTCCCAGTACATAGTTGTATATTTTAGTTGTGGGTTCTAGCTTGGCATGTGGGATGCTGCCTCAACATGGCCTGATGAGCGGTGCCATGTCCGCACCCAGGATCCAAACCAGCAAAACCCTGGGCTGCTGAAGCCGAGTGCACAAACTTAACCACTCGTCCACGGGCTGGCCCCAAGAACTGATAATTTTTATTTAAAAATTAATTTAGGTGCCATTTGAGAAAGGCTTGCAGTTCACTCTGAGAAAACAGAGTTAATAACACAATAGGTAGAAGACTTTAAAATACTGTAACATCCTCAGAGAGACTGGGAGGGTATAGTATCCTTGAGGCAGGAACAGGTGGTTATGAAAAAGAACCAATGAGCCACCTAGGAAATGAATAATATAATTGGTGAAATACAACTCCTTAGAAGGGCTGAATAACAGAATGGACACAACTGAAAAGTAAATTAGTGAACTAGAACAGAAGGTTGAAAATTTTTCCCAGAAAGAGCCACAAAGAAAAACGGAGCTTTCACCTGAGCAAAGCCTTTCTTCTCTCCCCTCAGCCCGACTCCTCTAGGAGCCCCCACAACACTCTGGGCCTATCCCTACTACAGCCCTTAGGACCCTATTAAAATCACGCTTTTGTGCCGGAAACCTCTATCAAGATCCTGGCTCGTCTGGGTCAGGGATCGCGGATCAGTCAAATCTCTTTTCTCACCCTAGTGTCCAGTTCAGTGCTTAGTACTTGCTGGTGGGAACCGAACGTCTAGTGAATGAATGGCACTTGGGAAGCAATCGTTAAATGCTTTTTAATCAGAGCACTTGATCATACAAGAAACCGAACCGTTTTCAATTGCCCTTAAATGGTTCCACATTCGAAGCTTTGAATGTTAGAGCTAAAGGGAACCTCAGAGATGGAGATCGTCTGGCGCCATAGAGGAAACTGAAACCCAGAGAGGTTGGCACTTGCCTAAGGTGTCACGACAGCGAATGAACGGCCGAATCAGAGCTGGAATCCAGGTCTCCTGATCCCAAGCCAAGAGCTCTCCGGCCCCCACCCCAACCCCAGTGTAGACGCTCAGGAAATTTGTCACAGCCGCACCGGAGTTACCAGGGGCCGAACTCTGGCTCAACACGAGTTTTTCTTAAAGACGCCTTACCCCGCTCGGGGCGTTGGGACGCGGTACTCACATGACAGAGAGGTGTTGGAGAGATTTTCTTGACTTTGCGATTCCTCCTGGGCCGCCAGCTCTGCGACCCGCAGGGAGCCAAACGCTAGCTATGCGCCCAGTGCGACTCGGTTGCTGTGGCGACTACGCACCTCTCACCCGGAAGCGAATATCCGAGGGGTGAGGCTCAGCCAATCAGAAGGCGCCTGGGTTGTGCAGCTGCAGCTGGGCCGCGGCGGGGCCGCCCCAGGTGAGATCCGTGAGGGTGGCCGAGCCCTGGCGGGACCTTTCGCCCCTGGGCGCTCCCTCCTGACAGCCGCTCCGGGAAGCAGCGCTGCGAGCCTGGTACGGCCTCCACTTCCACGGACAAGGAATGTGTGTCCGTGTGCGTGCTCTGTGCGTCGCCCTGTTTGTCAGTGTGTGGACCTTTCTACTGTCTCCCTCTCCAGGAGTGGTCAGAGCCTGAGCACCCTCCTGGGCCGGAGGGATCCAGCCTATCTAGCTGGGGCCGGTGAGTTTGGACCGACAGGATCCCAGGCCCTGGGACCGGGCCCGATGGGGGTCGGCAGCTGAGGTTGCCTACGCGCACGCTGGAAGCGGGGTAACTGAATTCAGGCTCGGAGCCGGGTAGAGGATTGGATTGGAGGGGCTCAGGCTTCCTTTCTTGTCTCTCTCTCCATCTCGAGTGGTTATTTGGGGGAGAGGATTGGGACGATGTGTGCTGGAAGAAAGGTACCAGGTCTGGGTATCTGTCTGGAGCTAGATATATGGGATCAGTCAGAGATTTGCCTGGGAGGGGAGTGGTGTGTGGTCAGCTTTCAGTGCCCATCTTGGTGATTCTGTGTCTGGGAGGCCAAACTTGGGTGTGAAACAAAGGATACTCTTCCTCTGTCCACGCTGAAGAAAGGTAGTTGGAATCTTCCCAGGCTAAATGGAATAGAATAGTGAAATCTATCCATGTGGCTTATACAACTGAATTCCTGTTCCCTGGAAAACGTCTGGAGAGAATCGTATTGGCTACAGCCAGCAAGTCTCCATTCAACTTTGGAGAGTAGATCTCAGACCAGATTGTAAAGGTAACATTTTCTGGGTTGGTGTGAGACAAGTTGTTGATGGCTCTTTAGGCAAGCTAACTGTGGCTTGGTCTGGTTGGCTACCCACTATTTTCTTTTTTAAACAAAGCACAATATTTTCTTGCTTTTTCCTAATATTTCTTACTACACAAACTTACCTGGGCTGGGTGGTTTTTGAGATGAAGCTCTGATCTTTCTGTCTTTTTCTAAATTTTAGAAATAATAGGTAATTATTGATGCACAACTTTACGAAATTCATTTTGTCCCATTGTTTTGGTCTCCCATTAAGCTTTTAATGCCCCTGCATTTTTGTGAGTATATGTGTATGTACCACTGTTTTTACAGAAGACCTTGAGGTAGTTGGACTTCTTTCTTACGATCTTATCTAAGAGGATCTAAAGTCAGAGCAAACTTGTAATGATGGAGTTTTAAATTTGGATTGGAAAAGTATATTAATCATATTTTTTCTTTTCTATCTTTTATGGTGTTTTGACGTCTTGCAGGCCTAGCTGGCCAGGAGGAAACTGCCCTTCCCAGGGCTAGGTAATTAACAACTCATGTGTGACCATGCCTTTCATATGCAAACCAGCCAATCTTATATCCATACTACCAACCACGTCCTTTATCTAGTTCTCACACCCAAGCCAGTAGTTCCCTGCCCTTGATCAATCCTAGGCCAGGTACCAGGCAACTAGGGACAGCCGCTGTGCCCCAAAGTCTGCTGGAATTATTCAGACTAGCCAATACTAACCTGTTTACCCTGCCCCACCTCACCTTTCTGGTGGAAACCCCAAGAAAGACTGTGGTCGCCTTCCCTTGGCTCCTCCCTGCCTCCTCGGTAACACTGGTGCTTCCCCCTGGGGCCTGCTGTGGCATGGCATGCCTCTCCTTTCTAGAGAAACTGTGAGTAACATTTAACTTTTTTCTCAATGGCATTGACCTCTCCATGTTGTCACTCAATCACGTTTATAAATTAAGACCCAGGCACAAATCAAAGAGGGACTGGCTTATCATTAAACTTTGAATTGATGGTAAAAGGTACAGGTGTGTGGGGATAGGGGGTGATACGATGGAAAGAATTTCAGCTTTGGAGTCAAATGGATTGTTTCAAACCCTGACTCCAGGCTTTGTTTCTATAATTGGTGACATTAGATAAGTCATGTAATTTATCTGTACTCTAGTTTCCTCCTCTATAAAATATAGAAAGCAATAATTATAAGAGTTTTAGAGGATTAAATGAAATAATCTTACCTTTCCCCTCAGTGCAGACTTGTATATCCGACTACCTTCTACATATCGTCATATGAGTATCTAATAGGCATCTCATAACATATCCAGTCTGAACTTGTGACGCCACGCCAAATCTTTTCCTCCCCAACATTCCCGTTCTGAGTACATGGCACCACTATTCACCCAGTTAACCTAGGCCAAAAAATATTGCAGTAATTCTAGATACTACTTTCTCGTACCTTTCATCCAGTTCATCTACCTTTAAAGTATGTTGAGAATCTATGACCACTTTTCAACTCAACTTGCTCTCACCCTAGTCCAACTCACTGTACTTTTTCTCTAGTCTGAACAACTGCAGTAGTTTCCTAACTGGCCTCCTGGTTTCTCCTCACCTCTACAGTCTTTATATTTGTCACATGGCAGCTAGAGTAATTGTTTTAAAACGTAAGTCAGTCATATCAAGCTTTTGCCTCAGCTCTCTGGTGACTTCCTGTTAAATTTAGAATAAAATTCAAAGTCCTTCCCAGGGCCTTTATGGCCCTCTCTACTCTCTGACCGCATACCCTTTCCTCACTTCACTACAGACCCACCAGACTCCTTACGTTTATCTAGCCCAGTGCACTGAACATGTTCCGCACTCGGCACCTTTGCATTTATTATCGCTTCTGCTTAGAATGCTCTTTTCACGAATATTTCATAGCTCATGCTCTCAGTATGTTCGGGTGTCTGTTCAAATATGATCTCAGAGAGATGACCACTCTTATCTGACCACTCTATCTAAAATAACAGCCTCAGAGTTTTTCTTTTATTTCATAGCACTTAACTGATATTATATATCTGTTTATTTGTTGTTTGTCTTACCCTCTAGAAGGTAAGCTTCATGAGGCAGGAATTTTGTCTTTTTTGCTGTTATATCTCTAGGATCTGGCACATAATAAGTGCTCAATAAATATTTGTGGAATGAATAAATAAATGAATGAATCTCCATTCTCGTGTTAGCCATTTATTCAACTATCACTCATTCCACAAATACATATAAATCCTGCTATATGCCAGACACTGTGTTAGAGGTGTATTCATAATCAAAATGTACATAATCCTTGCCTTCAAAGAGCTTTCTGAGAGAAGGAGGAGAGAGATAAACATGAACTAAGCCCTAAATAAATATGTATAATTATGAAGGATTTTGAAGAAAAGAATGTCAAGACCTACTTAATTTCCACATATTTGTGAGTTTCCCAAATTTTTTCCTGCTCTTGATTTCTTATTTCATTTCACTGTGATTGCCAAAGATACTTTGTATTATTTCTCTTTTTTAATTTATTGACGTTTGTTTTATAGTGTAGCATATGGTCTGTCCTGAAAAATTTTCCTTGTCCACATGACAAAAATATATATTGGGTAAGGTGTTTTATAGATGTCTGTTAGGTCTAGTTGGTTTGTACTGTGTTTCATGTCTTCTGTTTCCTTGTTGGTCTTACATCTAGTTGTTCTTTACCATTGTTGAAAGTGGGTTATTGAAGTCTCCTACTGTTATTACATTGTTTATTCCTGTCTTCATTTCTGTCAGTTGTTGTTTCATGTATTTTGGTGCTCTGTTATTAAATGCATATTTGTTTATAGTTGTTATATCTTCCTGATCGATTGACCCTTTTTTCATTATGAAATGTCCTTCTTTATCTCTAATAACATTTTTTGCTTTAAAGTTTATTTTGTCTGATATTAACATAGCCACTTCAGCTTTCTTGTGGTAGCTGTTTGCATCATTTATCTTTTTCCATCCTTTTACTTTCCATTTATTTGTGTCTTTGAATTTAAATTGATAAATAAATAGCATATAGTCATATCATGTTTTTTTATCCAGTCTGGTAATTTTTTTATTGAATTGTTTAATTTCTTCACATATAATGTTATTATTGATATAGTGGGATTTATGTCTGCCATTCTACTTTTTATTGTCTATATATCTCATGTCTGTTTTGTTTCTCTGTTCCTACTTTACTGCTTTCTTTTGTGTTCAGCCATTAAGTGAATATTTTCTAATGTAATATTTTAATTTCTTTAATGATTTTTTCACTATATTTTTTTAAGTTTTTGGTTTCTTGTTTAGCGACTGCTCCAGGGTTTATCATCTACATTTTAACATGTCAGAATCAGCTTCACATTTATAGTAGCTCAATTTTAGGAATATATAGAAATGTTACTCTCATATACAGTCATGTGTCACTTAATGACAGGGATACATCCTAAGAAATGCATTATTAAGTGATTTCGTCATTGTGTGAACATCATAGAGTATACTTACACAAACCTGGATGGTATAACCTACTATGCATCTAGGCTGTATGGTAGTAATCTTAGGGGATCACCATTGTATATGTGGTCCATCATTGAATGAAATCTTGTTGTGTGGCATAGGACTGGAGCTATATTCCTTTCCCCTCCTTTCGGTGGTGTTACTGTTATACACATCACATCTATTAATATTACAAACCCAGCAATACATTGTTATGAGTATTACTTTACCATTGGTAGTTATTTTTTTAGCCCAATACTACTATGCTCCCACCAACTTGCTTCATGCTATTATTGGCAAATATATTACATTTCTATATATTATAGGTCCAATATTACATCATATACATATTATTTTATATAATTGCTTTTAAAATCGGTTATGTAAAGGATAAAACTATGCATTTATACTTTTTAAAAATATAATTATGTAATTACCTTTATAGGTGTTCTTTATTTTTTTGTGGGGGTTCAAATTACCGTGAAAGGTCACTTGCTTCAACCTGAAGAACTTCCTTTAGTATTTCTTAAGTAGGTGTGCTGTCAACAAATTATCTATTTTCATCTGGGAAAGTTTTTATTTCACCTTCATTCTTGAAAGATAGCTTTTCTGGATATAGGATTCTTGATTGACAGTTCTTTTCTTTGAGTACTTTGAATGTATTATGTCACTGCCTTCTGGCCTCCATTATTTCTGCCAAAAAGTCAGCCATTAATCTTACTGGGGTTATACCTGTAAGTGACAGGTTGTTTTTCTCTTACTACTTTCAGAATTTTCTCCTGTCTTTAACCTTCCGCATTTTTACTATATTATGTCTGTTTGTGAATCACTTTGTGTTTCTCCTACTTGGAGTCCTTTGAACTTTCTGGATGTGTAGGTTATTGTCTTTCAGTAAATTTGAGAAATCTTCTGCCATTATTTGAACATTTTTCTGCTCTTTTCTTTGTCTCCTATCTTTCTGGTGCTTACATTATGCATACTGCTGACTTTGGGCTTAGTTTGTTCTTTTTTTCTAGTTTCTTAAGGTGTAAATTTAGGTTTACTTGAGATCTTTCTTTTTTCTTAATGTAGGCATTTATCACTACAAACTTCCCTCTTGGAACTCCTTTTGCTGTATCCTGTAAGTTTTGTTATGTTGTGTTTCCATTTTCAGTTGTTTCAAGATATTTTTTAATTTCTGTTTTGATATCTTCTTTGACCCATTGGTTGTTCAGGAGCATGTTATTTAATGTCCACATATTTGTGAGTTTTGCAGTTTTCCTTCTGTTATTGATTTACAGTTTCATACCATTGTGGTAAGAAAAAATGCTTGATATGACTTCAGTATTCTTTTTTTTTCCCAAGTAATTTTATTGGGATTATAATGGTTTATAACATGGTGTAATTTCAGGAGTACATTATTGTTTATCAGTTCCTGAATACACTTCATCATGTTCACCTCCAGTAGTGCAATTTTTATCCATCACCATATATATGCGCCCCTTTAACCCTTCCCCCCCGCTCCCACAACCTCCTTCCCCTCTGGTAACCACTAATCTGTTCTCTTTATCCATGTATTTGTTATCTTCCACATATGAGTGAAATCATGCACTATTTATCTTTCTCTGTCTGACTTACTTCACTTAACATCATACACTTATCTCGCTTAGCATCATAACATTTGTTGCAAACGGGACAATTTCGTCTTTTTTATGGCAGAGTAGTATTCCATTGTGTGTGTGTGTGTGTGTATATATATATATGTGTATATACACCACATCATCTCTATCCATTCAGCTATAGATGGGCACTTGGGTTGCTTCCACATCTTGGCTATTGTGAGTAATGCTGCAGTGAACATAGGGGTGCATAAATCTCTTTGGATCATTGATTTCAGATTCTTTCGATAAATACCCAGTAGTGGGATAGCTGGATCGTATGGTATTTCTGTTTTTAATTTTTTGAGATGATTTCAGTATTCTTAAATTTGTTAGGACTTGTTTTATGGCCTAACATATGATCTGTCCTGAAGAATGTTCCATATGTGCTTGAGAAGAGTGTGTTTTCTGCTGCTGTTGGATGGAATGTTCTATATATGTCTGTTAGGTCCATTTGGTCTAAATTACAGTTCAAGTCCAATGTTTCCTTATTGGCTTTCTGTCAGAATGATCTATTCATTGTTGAAAATGGGGTATTAAAGTCCCCTATTAGTATTGTATTGCTCTCTATTTCTCTCTTCAGATATGTTAATATTTGCTTTATATATTTAGGTGCTCTGATGTTAGGTACATAAATATTTACAATTGTTAGATCCTCCTGATGAATTGACCCCTTTATCATTATGTAATGATCTTTTTTATCTCTAGTTACAGTTTTTGACTAGAAAAGTCTATTTTGTCTGATGTAAGTCTAGTTACCCCTGTTCTCTTTTGGTTTCTATTTGCATGGAATATCTTTTTCCATCCCTTCACTTTCAGTCTATATATGTCTTTAAGCTGGAGCAGTTGTGTTGTGGGCAGCGTATAGTTGGGTCCTGCTTTTTTACCCATTCAGCCGCTCTGTCTTTTGATTGGAAAATTTAATCCATTTACATTTAAAGTCATTATTGATAGGTAAGGGCTTACTATTACTATTTTGTTGTTTCCTAGGTGTTTTATAGATTTGTTCCTTTCTACCTCTCTTGCTGTCTTCCTTTGTGATTTGACAATTTTCTGTAGTGGTACACTTTGATTCCTTTATCTTTTGTGTAGCTACTATAGATTTTTGCTTTGTAGTTACCTTGAGGTTTACATAAAACATCATACGGGGCCAACCTAGTGGCATAGTGGTTAAGTTCATGCGCTCTACTTCGGTGTCCTGGGGTTTGCAGGTTTGGATCTAGGGCATGGATCTAGCACTGCCTGTCAAGCCACACTGTGGCAGCATCCCACGTAAAACAGAGGAAGATTGGCGACAGATATTAGCTCAGGGCCAGTCTTCCTCACAAACAAACAACAACAACAAAAACATCATACAGTTATAATATTCTATTTTAAGCTAATAACAACTTAACTTTGATCCCATACAAAATCTCTACACTTTTACTCCCCCCAGGCAAAATCTGTGAGCCAGGGCTGTGTTTCTGAAAATATGTATGTAAATATAAATTTTGTTTATCAGATCATATTAAATACATGAAAACATCTCTTTTGAACTAGAATTTTTTAAACCCTATACCAGACCTAACTAAATCAGAATATAAGATTGGGGCCTAGGCACGTGTGTTTTGAAACTTCTCTGTGTGTTTCTGATGCACATCCCTGGTTAAGAAATCTCTGTCAGAGAAACTCACTAAATATTAATCTTGAAGGGAATGTGCTTGTAAATCTTTTATGAAGCAATTTATCCATGCTTCCTTTAAATTGGCTGTTTTAAAATGTCCATTTTCCTTTATTTCTCTAAATTATCGTATATCCATAACTTTGACAAACAAAGGAATATTATACTTGTCTGATTTTATGATATCTGTATTACTTTTTTCTCTTGCAGGTGAAAATGAGTTCTTCAGTAAGAAGAAAAGGCAAGCCAGGCAAAGGAGGTGGAAAGGGGTCTTCTAGAGGAGGAAGAGGAGGCAGGAGTCATGCTAGTAAATCTCATGGAGGTGGCAGTGGTGGTGGTGGTGGTGGTGGCGGCAATAGAAAGGCATCGAGTAGAATTTGGGATGATGGTGATGACTTCTGTATCTTCAGTGAATCAAGGCGCTCATCCAGGTCATTATACTGTTTGAATGTTCTTCTTTATCTATTCATCAGTCCATGGGCACTTGGGTTGCTTCCACATCTTGGCTATTGTGAATAGTGCTGCAATGAACATAGGAGTGCATAAGTCTCTTTGAATTGTTGATTTCAAGTTCTTTGGATAAATACCAAGTAGTGGGATGGATGGGTCATGTGGTATTTCTATTTTTAATTTTTTGAAAAATCTCCATACTGTTTTCTATAGTGGCTGCACCAGTTTGCATTCACACCAGTGGTGTATGATGGTTCCCTTTTCTTGACATCCTCTCCAATATTTGTTACTTTTTGTCTTGGTGATTATAACCAGTCTGATGGGTGTAAGGTGATATCTTAGTGTAGTTTAGATTTGCATTTCCCTGATGATTAGTGAGATTGAACATCTTTTCGTGTGCCTATTGGCCATCTGTATATCTTCTTTGGAAAAATGTCTGTTCATATCCTCTGTCCTTTTTTTTTTGTTGAGGTTATGATAGTTTCCAACATTGTGAAATTTTATTTGTCATTCATCTTATAGGTGCACCCCTTCACCCTTTGTGCCTGCTCCCCTTCCCCCGGTAACCACCTATCTGTTCTCTTTGTCCATGTGTTTATCTTCGACATATGAGTGAAATCATATAGAGTTTGTCTTTCTCTGTCTGCCCGTTTTTTGATCGGGTTGTTTGGGTTTTTTTGTTGTTGGGTTGTGTGAGTTCTTTATATATTTTGGAGATTCACCTCTTGTCAGATATATGATTTGCAAATACGTTCTTCCAGTTGGTGGGTTGTCTTTTCATTTTGTTCCTGGTTTCCTTAGCTGTGCAGAAGCTCTTTAGTCTGATAAAGTCCCCTTTGTTTATTTTTTCTTTTGTTTACCTTGTCTGAGTAGACATAGTATTGGAAAAGATGCGTCTAAGACTCATGTCAAAGAGTACATATCATACATGCTTTTAACTTAAATGAATTCAACTTTATACATTCAGGGAAAAAAATGAAAACAAATAGCATTTAAGTAGTTTAAACTTGCCGTTAAATGAATCTGGGCCCCATGGTGAGCAAGATATGGAGGGAGGAATATGCTATTCCCTTAGTCAGTCTCAGTTTCCAAGTGCTTTTTCTAGTTTAAGCCTGATACACTGAAATGTGAAATGTAAATAGATGTTTTTCATACATAGTCCCTAGCATAATCAAGTACGTCATCAGCTATTCAACCAAAGAATCTACATTTTTCTCTATTCTAGAAGAAAAAGGATCATTTTGGACATATTGAGAGGTAATATATCAGTCTCAAACCTGACACCTTTTTAAAGAGTCATCCAGAATAATTTTAAACTTTATTTTCACTTTAGCTGCTGATTTAAGAACGTCACTTCTGAGTTATATGCAGCTCACTTCTTTTGATAACGTAGACATTATAGGTTCTTAGAGTCTTAGACTTTCATTCAGCAAATATTTACTGAGTGCCTGCTGTGCACCAGGCATTGTTTTAGGGACTAGGATTACAGCAATGAATAAAATACTGTCCTTGTCTTCATTGAAGGAGGTTTGAGGTATAAAGACCATAAACAAATACAGAATATGTCAGGTGGTAAGTGCTTTGGAGAAAAATAAAGAAGGGAAAAGGGGATAGAAAATACCAAAATAGATTTCTGGTATTTTTAAATAGTTGCTATTTTGTGCAGCATGATCAGAGAAGTCTTCTCTAATAATGTGTCATTTGAGCAGGGACAAGAAGGAAGTGAAGAAGTGAGCTGTGAAGCTATCTAAGGGAAGAGCATTCAAGGCAGAGGGAACAGCAAGTGGGAAGTCCCTAAGGCAAGAGTGTGCTTGGAAGGTTTAGGAAATGGCAAGGAAGTCATGTGGCTGGAGTGGATGGGTAAGAAGAAGAGTGATAAGCAGATAGATCTGAGAGGCTACACCGTGTGTGACTTTATAGGCCGTTATAAGGACTTTGGCTTTTGCTTTGAGTAAGATGGGAAGCTGTTGCAGGGTTTGAGGCAAAGATGTGTGACATCAGTCACTCTGGCCAGAGTTGCTGCTACTCAATATATGCCTTTATGTGAATTAGAAAATGGTGCCCCCTTTTTTGGGCAATTATAGCCCCAGGATGCATGGCTTGGCAAACAGAGCATAGACTGGATTTTAGCTCTTGCTGTCCCCTCCTCCCTTATTCCCTTCTCATCCCCACCCTCCTACCCTGCCAGGAGACGTTACACAGTGTACAGTCTATACACCCATACTCTAGCCCTGCCTCAGGGTGCTGTGTGGAGAAGAGACTACAGGGGCATGGGTTGGAAGCAGGAAGACCGGTTAGGAGGTACTTTCCAAGTGGAGATATCATAGACAATTTAATATATAAGTCTGGAGTTCAAGAAAAAGAACGAGACTAGAGAAGTAAATGTCTGAGTCTTCTGTGAATAAGTGCTATTTAAAGCTATGAGAGCGGAGGAAATAGAATATAGATAGAGAAGAGGTCTGAACTTTGAGCCCAAGGGCACTGTAGGCTTTAGAGCTGAGAGATTAGGAGATCAAACAAAGGAGGCTGAGGAGGAGTTGCTAATGAAGTGGGAGGAAAACTAAGAGAGCACGGTTTCTGGAATTCAAAGAATAAAGACGTTTGGAAGGGGAGTATCGAAAATCTAAATTCCAACAATGAAGGTTGGTGAAATAAATTCCCGTATATCTATATGTATATGTAACCATTTAAAATTATGTTGTAGGAGAATATTTAATTTTAGGGAAATGTCAGTTTTGTTTTGATAAGAAAATAAAGCAATTATAAAAGATTATATATGCTGTACAATTTTATAAAAAAGTATATGAAAAAGAATGATGTGAATTAGGATGACTTCTGTTTTCCTCTTCTTTACTTTTCATGTATTTATTGTTTTATTTTTGTAATCAGGAAATAATGATAATTTAGGTAAATATTTCACATATAGGGCCTAGTATTCACAATTGAGATGAGACTCTCGATTGTTTTCAGATTGGGTACCTAAAATAGTATGAAATAAATACTTTTCGGGTGTAGCATATTTCCTTGAAAGTCCTCTAGTACACAGGGAGTCATCATAGCATTGCTTTTTTCAGAGGATTCTTGAGTTAGTGAAGCCAGACTTAATGATTAAGAATCAGATCAGGGGTTTTTTTTCCAGCAGTTCCAATATAATGAAGTGTGGAAAATACTGTAGAAAATGGACAGTCTCTTCACATTCATTGTCATCTTTCATAAGATACTTGACAGTCCAGTTCGCATTGTATGTATCTGGGGACTCTGAGGAGAGTGTAAAAGTTCTAATCACAGTTAAATGTGCAGTTTTGTTCATGTGTCATTTGCAGACCTAGCAACAGTAGCATAAGAAAAGGAGAGGCACGCCCCAAATGGAGGCCCGAAGCCAAGGTGCCCCTTCAGACACTACACATGACTTCTGAGAACCAGGAAAAAGTGAAAGCTCTTCTCCGAGACCTGCAGGAACAAGATGCAGATGCTGGATCTGAGTAAATTATTTTGTTTGAGTAAATTATTACATTAAGGAAGATCTGTTGGTAGTGTGAACATCCTGTGTGTCTTTGGAATTCTGTATCTTTACTGATCCTGTTGTGGCTGTATAAGAAAGTGAGCCAAGAGAAATGCAAGAATAATTATTCAGCAACAGTTTTGGAATGAGTTTGTTTTGCAATATCTGTGAGCAGTAGTACAGATTGCCTTTTCATCTTTATTTTTTTTCTAGGACAGTGCCAATATGGATTTAGTAATTGATTTATTGACAGCTTTCCAAATAAAACCTTGTAGTGAACAAGTAGAAGTCTTGTTGTGGGAGCAGATATTGAGTTGAGCAGATGAAGTCTTAAGATTACACTTCTCATCACCATCTGTCTAAGAGAAACAATTTTTATTCTTGTGGCTTTTTTGCTTTGTGATTTCAATTGGAGAAGTTAATTCTTTCCATTTACCAGAATTAATGAGTCGTCAGTCAAGAACAGCTCAATTTCCATCCTATCTACAAATCTCTTATCTGTCTTAGATTTAGGAAGGGTGGTTATACATCAGAGCCAAAAATTAGGGATGGTTTTTATGAATCAGAAGAGAGAGAGAGGAGCCAAGGCTTCTATGGTTAGGAAAACAGGCTCAGGGGTCAGACTGCCTTGGTTAAAATCTGTCATTGCTCTTTACTGCATAACCTTTGACAGTTACTAATCTTCTCTAAGTTTTAGTTGATCATCTGAAAAATGGAAATTCCAATAGAATCTGGTAGAGTTATTGGAAAGATTTAAAAGAGACAGTACTTATAAGACACTTAACATAGTACCTAGTGTGTAGTAAATGCCCAATAGATGTTAATTGCCAAGATATAAATTAATAGGTCAATAAAAGATTAAATCAGTGACTGAATAGTAGTCAGGATCCTATGTCCTTTGGCTTCTCAAATTCTTACATTCTTGCTAAATTTCTTTTGAAGTAAGTAGAAATTAGAATCTAATATGTGAAAATGTTACCTTTGCCAGAAGAGGCATTTCTGGGGAGGAGGAAGATGATGAGCCTGATTATGATGATGAGCAGTACTGGTCAGCTGGACGAGAAGCTTCCCTTGTTCCTGACGCTGATCCTTTGGAATATGCTGGCTCAGGCCTGGTGGAGCCTTATAATCCAGAATTTGCAGTCTCAACATTTGCAGTGCAGAAACTCTCCAGGTGATTGCTTTCAACATTTATGGGAGTTGGTGGAGAATTCAAGGAAACTGAAGTCATGTTATAAACCCAACTCCTGCTCCTTGAGTACTTTCCTATGGTGTGGGTTCCAGCAGTGCCTGATGTGCCTAATATCCTCCCTTTTAGGATAGGGGATTAAGGAGGAATTAATATTGTCAGAGATGCTTTTTCAAAATACAAACCCTGCCTATGTATAGTTATAACTTCACATAAATGTATTTAAATGAATTTCACTTCTGTGATTTGATATTACTCAGTCTTTTTTGTCCTGTTTCGTACTTGGCAGATATGGTTTCAACACGGAACGCTGTCAAGCAGCCCTGAGGATTTGTGATGGAGATGTGGGGGCATCACTAGAACATCTTCTCACCCAGTGTTTTTCTGAGACGTTTGGAGAGAGGGTGGAGATCTCAGAGGCAGTTGCCCGTATAAGCTTGGATGAGTGTGTGGAACAGCGTCAGGAAGAAGCATTTGCTCTCAAGTCAATCTGTGGAGAAAAATTTATAGAAAGAATTCAGAACAGAGTCTGGACCATTGGACTAGAACTGGAGTATTTGACAAGTAAATTCTGCAAATCCAGGCCAAAGGAAAGTACCAAAAATGTGCAGGAGACTTCACTTGAAGTCTGTAAATTTTACCTCAAAGGAAATTGTAAATTTGGATCAAAATGCAAATTCAAACATGAAGTGCCCCCAAATCAAATTGTTGGAAGAGCAGAAAGAAGTGTCGATGATTCTCATCTTAATGCCAACGAAGATGCATCTTTTTTATATGAACTTGAAATTCGATTTTCTAAAGATCACAAATACCCCTACCAAGCTCCCCTCGTGGCATTTTATTCCACCAATGAGAATCTACCTCTGGCTTGTCGTTTACATATTTCTGAGTTCCTTTATGGCAAGGCCTTGATATTTGCAGAAACTTCAGAACCTGTTGTATATTCTTTGATAACCCTTTTAGAGGAAGAATCAGAAATAGTCAAGTTACTAACAAATACCCATCACAAGTACAGTGTTCCTCCTGTGAGCCCTCTGCCAGTATCCTCTGCAACCAGAGTAAATAATCCTGTCTGTCGTAAACCAGTGATTCCAAATAATTCTTTTGGTTCAAATCAAATTCCAGAAGGTACGTAAGGCATTGATCACGTGGATGGTGTTGTAGAGCGGGGCTGGTCTAGGATCTCCCAGAGATCTTAAGCAAGTCATTCTCCTCAGTCCATGGGCAAAAGGGCGTGAGAATCCCCCGAAGTATGCCCTGACTTTAATTGTAAGGCCTAATTTTGTCATTGTGTTTGAGCTCCCTGAATTTAAAGTGTGTAGATGATAAGTTTATTCTAGCAGTTGAGGGTCGGAAGAACCTCAAAGCATCTTCCTAGAAAATGTGTTTCATTTAATTCATTTGGTCAGATGTTTACTTCTGATACTTTATATGGGATTACTTTCAAATGAGTTTTTAGAGTTCTTTCTCTTTCTATACCACTATCCTTACCCTCCTGCTTTTAGTACACCAGACCCCCAGAATTCTTCAGAGTAGGGTTATCTTTATGAATCCTTAAATCCTCAAATAAAGGAATGTTTATGCAAGCTTCTGGCTTTGTCCAGACCCAGGTTTGCTGTACAGATACTTACACCACAAGTAAACCCTCTTTTCAAGGTTCATCAGAGAATTCTCTCTTATTTGTTGCCATCTTTCTTTCAGAGAAACAAGTTTTTATTATTTCATAAGCGTTCCTAGGTAAACATCAATAGGTAGAGAACAATGAAGCTGTACTGAGATGTGGATGCTGGACAGTTGGCTGGGTTTACTCACTGGCCACTTGACTCACTCCCAAGTGTGAGCTTCTAGCCTATAGGATTCAGATGTATTCCTCAAGAAATGACAAATTGTGTGTCATGGACTTTTTTTTAAGTAACAGCTTTATTGAGATATAATTTACATACCATAAAATTCACCATTTGAAAGTGTACAATTCAATGATTTTTAGTATATTCACAGAGTTGTACAACCATGACCACTATGTAATTCCAGAACATTTTCATCACCCCAAAAAGAAACCCCATACCTGTTAGTGTCACTTCTCATTTCTTCCTTTCCCCAATCCCATCAGTCATGAATCTACATTCTAGCCCTGGATTTGCCTATTCTGAACATTTCATAGAAATGGAATTGCAATATGTGGCTTTTTGTGATTGCCTTCTTTCACTTAGCATAACGTTTTCACTGTTCATCCCTATTGCAGCATGTATCAGGACCTCATTCCTTTTTATTGCTAAACTGTATGCCATTATAGTGATATATCACATTTTGTTTATCAATTCATCATTCGATAGACATTTGGATTGTTTTATGTCATGGAATGTTAGGAACACTTGCAAATAGTTGAAACTTTCAGTTAATTGCTTGAATGTAAAAAGTCTACTGGATTAATAAGTTGTGCCGTGATTGTCTCTTCGTTTTTAATTTGGTTTAACAATAGCCACTTATACTTGATTAAAGTTTGTTTGAAGATGCATTTTAAGTTCTTTAGCAGTGAGAGTAGTAGTATCGAAATGAATGAACCTACTTTATTCAAGCTTTAACTTTTTCTCCGTTTTATGATTTTTGTTGTTGTTGTTACTTTGTTAGACAGTGACTTCCCCCTTTGCTAAAGAAAGGGCTCCATATCGCAAATGTTTCCTTTTATCCCCTTCAAGTTGAAAAAGAATCAGAACCTGAGGAGGAGACAGATGAGGATGAAGGTCCTGCACCAGTTATAGTGGAGAATGAAAGCTATGTGAACCTTAAGAAAAAGATTTCCAAAAGATATGACTGGCAGGCAAAATCAGTACATGCTGAAAATGCTAAAATCTGCAAGCAGTTCCGAATAAAACAGGTAGGGTGTTCTGAGAGAACGGCTAGCCTTGCCTCCCTAAGGTATGGATGAAGGGATTAGGAATTAGGAAACTTTGGCTACCCCGCCTAGTATACTTTTGGTTCTTTTTCACTCTGAGTGGTCAGAGTTCTGCATGCCACAGCAAATTTGGGTGCATGTTCTAGATAGTTCTGAAAAATTCAATGGCTGGTGAAAATGAAATATATACATATATACCAAATATTCTCAGAATCATGTGGCTTTGATACTGTTGACAATCTGATAAGCAAAAGAAAAATTAATACTGTGATTTACATTAGAAAAATCAGTGTGGAAAGGGAGAAGCATAGGGAGGGACTCTTACCCCATTTCAGAGGCTCACAGGATAAATAACTTGCCCAAGGTCACACAACTAGTAAGTGGCAACACAGGGGTTCAAGCTAATTCTCTCTGTTTCCAAAGTTTATGTTGTTTTTACCCCATTCTCATGAAGATCATTTTAAAAGAACCCATAAGTGAACTGTTAGGGCAGAGTTGGATCTAGGACAAAGGTGAGTTGCTTAACCAGTTTGGGGATTGAATTAGATGCTAAGGGCCCTTCCAGTTCTAAAGTTCTATGAATCTCATTTTTGATACAGTATAACACTATCACATTTACTATAGTGCAATACCCATAGAACATCAGAATGAATACAAAATCATACCATAAACAATAATGTGGTAGAAACGAAAATTACATATTCAATTTGATCAGTGCGTTTAGAGGTGATAAATTTATATGATAAAATTATATGCAGAAAATGATGTATAAATTTCTTACATTATTCAAAAATATATCGATAATGTTATCATGCAGTACAGTGTTTGTAGCATTGGCCATTAGATGTCAGACTGAGTTACATAGATGTAGTGACTGGCCAAAAAGAACCCTTTAGTGAGTGCCCTTAGTATTATTGATTTTGATGAAAATCTGATATCGTGTAGAACTATGCTGTCCAGTGTGGTAGCCCCTAGCCGCATGTAGCTATTTAAATTTAAATTAAATAAAATAAATTCAGTTCCCCAGTAACACTGGCCACATTTCAAGTGCTCAATAGCCACCTGTAGCCAGAGGTTGCTAAATTGGACAACGCAAATATAGAACATTTCCATCATACAGAAAGTCTATTGGACAGTGCTGGTGTAGAGACTCTTGCTAGGAAGAGCTGGATAGTTGTTAAGCAAGAGACGTTTATTTCTCTTAAGATCTTTCAGTTTGGGGCCGCGCCGTGGCCGAGTGGTTAAATTTGCGCGCTCAGCTTCGGCGGACTGTGGTTTCGCTGGTTCGGATCCTGGGCACGGACATGGCACCACTCATCAGGCCGTGTTGAGGCAGCATCCCACATGCCACAACCAGAAGGACCTACAACTAGAATATACAGCTATGTACTGGGAGGCTTTGGGGAGAAGAAGAAGAAGGAAAAAAAGGAAGATTGGCAACAGATCTTAGCTCAGGTGCCAATCTTTGAAAAAAAAATCTTTCAGTTTATTCGGATGTAGGAAAACCACACAGATTCCACAGCTTATTCTGGCTGATTCTCTGAGCAGCATTCTGACTAAAATCATCAGCATCTGACCCCGACAAAGCTCTGCAATTTCTGTCTCTGAACAAATTGTTAAAGAAAAAGCGGAAAGGGTAGGCCTAACTATGGGACTCCAGATTCAGAGCTTTGTGAAAGGTGATTCAAAGTAATCCAACTGATCCTTATCTTTTATTATATTAGGCTTCCAGACAGTTCCAGTCGATTCTGCAGGAAAGACAATCACTCCCTGCTTGGGAAGAAAGAGAAACCATTCTTAAATTATTGAGCCAGCATCAGGTGCTTGTTATAAGTGGTATGACTGGGTAAGAGTGCAGTTTATTTGTAATGCATGTAAATATGATATATGTACCCTCGTTATCGTAACCAGTTCTACTTTTAAAAAACCAGTAGCTGGTGTTATTTGTGCTTTTTCCTGTCAAATATTAAATAATATTTCACAGACGCTAATATTGCAATTTCTGTAACCAACAGCCAAATTACAAAAAACAAAAACAAAACTCAGAAATCCATCTAGGAATTTGAAGACGTTGTACACCTCTACCTTGAGACAATTTTAAGGCAAAGGCCTCGCTAAAGGCTTTTAACAAGGTTCATTTTTAAATATAAAGGGTAGTTCCAGAACATTTAGCTTGAAAACTTTTCGTCTTCTAAATTTATTCTGATTTCCTGAGAGCTTTTATTTGTTCTTTTGAAAACACCGTAGGGCCCATTATTTTGTTTATTTCACATTCTCCATATGTTATCCAAACCTATTTAGCGGGGACAAATTGCAGGCTTAATTTAGTTCTGTATTCAAGGGTATTCAATTTAATAATTACATGTGTGCCCAGACTCACTGGTATGGTAGTAACTTTGTCTTCCAGTTTCTTTTCTTTTTAGCTTCAGCCCACTTTTAGCCAAATCAATATACATCAAAGGGGAAAATATAAAGTATTTTAAAAATCATTAGCTAATACTCCTATTTCTTTAGGATTCATATACAGAGTTCTCATTACTAGAAGCATTTACAGACCTTAATCTAATGTTTATTTAGCAGTCCCAGTTTTACAAGTGATACTACACTATCATTTGACTGCCTCTTTGATCTGAGCGCAAATTCCTAGGAATTACGAGCTGTAGGTATTAAGTCAGAAGGTAGGTTTAGAAGATCGGTAAAGCTGTACAACTTTTATTCTAATTAGCTTTCTCACTTCCCTCATTGCATATGATTGCTTCTTTAGTTAACTAGCGCTTGAACTAGCACTCTCATTTCAGGACTTATTTGTTTTGACATGCAGATGTGGGAAAACCACACAGATTCCACAGTTTATTCTGGATGATTCTCTGAATGGACCACCTGAGAAGGTGGCTAACATCATCTGTACCCAGCCCCGACGAATCTCTGCGATCTCTGTCGCTGAACGTGTTGCTAAAGAGAGAGCAGAAAGGGTGGGTTTGACTGTGGGATACCAGATCCGGTTAGAAAGTGTCAAGGTTTGTATGCTCTGCTTTTTCCCTGATAACAGAAATTTACGGTTTTCACGTATAAAGAATTCTTGGGGTCTGGAGACTCATGGACAATTTGGGATATATACTTCAGTGGGGCTGCAGTCCTTTTAGAAACATTCTGGTATAGGAACTCTTATTTGGGTGTACTAATTTCCTCTATAAAGACCTTGTATTCTTTACGGGCAGAAGTGATCTATTAGGTACTGTTTTGCTCTTAAAACTGGGTCTTAATCCATTTAACCAAGTAAGGAATGGCCAAATTCAGATTTGATTTCATCACTCACTGTTGTTTTTATGTTTTATAATAATTTTTAAATGTTTTTATCAGTTTTAAACTTAAAATTTTGATAAAAAGTGGAAAAGCTTTTATTGTGGTTGTCACCAAAAAACTGCATGGTTTTTTAGTATGGTTTCATATTAAATGGAACTGCTGTTTTTCCAATATTCTCTATCCCTATCCATTCAAAATAGCTTTGCCAGGAAGGTGTTTCCCTTTTTCAAAAATTTCATGACTGCTTTCTGTGCCCTTTTACTTGTAAGTCCTCAGCCACCAGACTGTTATACTGCACAACAGGAGTGCTGCTGAGAAGGCTAGAAGGAGATACAGCTCTACAAGGAATCACCCATATCATTGTTGATGAAGTTCATGAGAGGACAGAAGAAAGGTAAAACAAAGATTTTCCAAGTGAATACCCACACATACAAAATGAAGACGTTGCTGAAAGAATTTTATTCTGCTTCCAATTCAGTTTCTTAGGGCCAATAATGGTATTTTGACATAGAGAAGGCCTAAGTTAGAGAAAAGGAACTGCTTTTGTGGTCTCCAGGGTCTGTAACACTAAAAATGCTAGGAGAGCACATGTTCATCACTGGAAGAGTCATCCTATTTGATGGACATCATCTAATAAGAGATATTTAGCACTCTCCTGGGCATGATACTGAGCTGGGCACTATACTTAGCAGGAATAACAGATGTAATGCATACTGTAGCTGATGGATTGGTGAATATGTTCTTCCTTCTTTGTTCATTTGGTCATTCATTCAGTCCTGACATTCATTCATGTATTTATTGAGCCTGTATTAAGTGCCAAGCAATCTGTTAATTGCTGGGGATACTGTAGTGAGCAAGCATATTTGGTTCCCTTTATCTTTTATGGTCTAGTAGGAAAAACAGTGAACAAGTAAACATATAAATAATTACAAATGGAGTAAGTACTATGAAGGAATAAGTAGGGTGCTGTGTTTGGAGGGAGGGATCCATGAAATGGTCAGAGATCATAACTCTGAAGAGATGACATTTAAATTAAAAACGGAAGCGTGAGAAGGAGTCCCACGTGACAAATGGGAGTAAGGCCAGCATTTGCAAAGACTGTGCAGTGGGAAAGGGCTTCATGAGTCCTGAAACTGGAGGAAGGCCAGCAAAGCTGATGTGTGGTGAATGAGGGGAAAAGTAGCAGGTGGAAAAAACAGGAGCCAGACTTCCTGGGCCTTATACACCACGGATAAGAAAGCATTTGGATTTTATTTTAATGGAATTAGAAGTGATTAAAGGGTTAAGTTATAACTTCTCAATATTTTAAAAGGAAGGACCAGATAAACAGATGGCATTAATCATAGTTTGTCATGTGGATCATGCTCTAGAGCAGTGAAAAAATGTAGGAAAAAAAAGAAACAATCCCATGAAAATTACAAGGCTTTCCCAAAGACGACTATACTACAATGGATATCTTTAGAAGAAGAAAGAAAGTCTAAGTAAAGTTGGCAGGCTGACAGAGAAGCAGAAAATAGCTAGTAGCGAAAGAAACAAAGAAACAAATGTGAAAAGAAGTCCCAGCTATTGCTGATAAAAAGTTTTTAAGAACTGAACAGGGCAGATATGTGACCAGAAGACTATTTGTTAGAAGAAATAAATACTCTAATTTATAGGAAATAGGAAATATGAAGTAATTAGAAACTAAAGAAAGGCAGACTTTCATATAAAAAGTATAGATCAAAATAAAAAGAATTTCTAGAAGAAGACAAATTTTAAGTGACTATCCACAAACAGTGGGGATCTTTGAGGGGCAAATATTCTTTATGTAGAGACTCCAGAAAACAGTAGGGGAAAAATAAATGGTAAATAATGTCATTTTACAGCTAAATATTCCAATGAATATTTGAAAGAAGAAATTTTTTTAATAGAATCACTGAACAACTTGGAAAAAGAAATCAAAACTTTCAATTAGATTAATGATATTTAAATGATTGTGTTCTCAAAATAAAATTTTAGGGGGAATTATATCCTGTGTAATTTTGAATATAAAGAATAGGTTTGGGTTTCATAACATTTATACTTCCACAGACTCAGAGAAACTGGAGCATAGCACTGGATCTGGTTCCTGGCTGCAATAGTGTTCTCAAAAAGAAAGATTTTTATAAGACCTAATGACCCATAGAATATCAACAGTTAAAAATTCAAAATATTTTCATGTCTGAATAAAGATGAGCTACACACTGGAGAAGGGAGATTCAAGCATTTACAAATAGCAGTCTTTGGGAAAGGAGTGTACAAATTACAGTCATGCTTTGCTTAACGACAGGGATATGTTCTGCGAAATGCATCATTAGGCAATTTTGTGGTTGTGCAAACATCATAAAGTGTACTTACACAAACCTAGGTGGTATAGCCTACTACACACCCGGGCTATATGGTACTAATCTTATGAGACCACCATTGTAAATGCGGTCCATTATTAACCAAAGCATTGCTGTGCGGTGGGTGACTGTACAAGAAAAAGTAGAGAATGTTTGCTATCTCAGAGTGAAAAAGGCAGAAAATAGGAGTAAAATCTAGGCGCCAAGATCGCTAAAAATATAGACAAGATTAAAGGTTGAATATAGAAAAGTTACAGTTGTGTTAGTTTAAAATTTTTAATAAATTTCCTAATCATAGAGATAACAACATGATTATTCTAAAACATTTAGAAAATATCAAAGAAATGGCAAGAAGAAGAATTTCTGCCCCCTATAAAATTGCTAATTCCATGCCACAATTTTTGTCTGTTTTCTTCTGGGAGTGTATTGGGAGTTAGGGGAGAGATGTGGTAGAGAGATGTATGTCCACAAACACTGTTGAGATTATATAGTTTTGTGTGCTGCTTTTGATTTAATAGTTAACATGATAGCAAAACTATCTTTGAAATTATTATTAATTGCATAAGGAAGTTCTAAAGCATAGATGTACCATAAATTACTTAACAATTTGCCTATTATACTATTTTCCTTTTCCTTAAAAGAGAAACAAAGTAGTCATAAAATGTAACTAAATTAGCTCATTAAATTAAAGAGAACTAAGTAGCACAAGAATACGCTCTCATTAAAAGTTCAAGCAAAACAAAGTGTAAGTCCCCCTTTAACACTCCCAAACGATTCCTAGTCCCTTCCCCAGAGATAACTATGGTGATCAGATTGGTGATATGTCCTTCTATACTTTGACATAGTTGTTTACTTTGTTAGAAATAGGTACTTCTGTTTTCTCACCTTTTTTTTTTTTTACACAAATGATATATTCATTTAGTAAGTCAGCACATATTTACTGAGTGCCTACTATGTTCCAGGCATTGTTCTAGATTCTGGAGTAGTGAACAAAATAATCAAAATCCCTGTCCTCATAGATCTTATCTTCTAGTCGGGGAGCCCAACAAGTGGCAAAATAAATAAGTAAAATATAGAGTATGTTACATGCTAACAAGAGGAAAGGTGATATGAAATGCAAGGGAGGGGACCATTTGAAATTTTAAATAGGGTGGCCAGGTAAGACCTGGCTAAAAGGTATCTTTTGAGTAAAGACTTGAAGGAAGTGAGGGAGCTACCTCTGTGAATGTCTGGGAGAAGCCCATTCTAGGCACATTAATAACATATACAAAGGACCTGAGGTCCATGTCTCAAGGACAGTAAGGTGGACAGTATGGCTGGAGCCAAGTAAATAAGAGGGAGGGCGGTAGAAAATGAGTGGTGGGGGTACAGATCTTGTCACGTAGGGCCTTGTTAGTGAGGACTTTAGCAAGTCATTGAAGGATTTTGAGCAAAAGAGTGGCACAATCAGATTTACATTTGAACAGAATTATTGGTCTCCCGTATTGAGAATAGATTTCAGGGAGGCCAGGGCTGAAGCAGGGAGACCAGCTAGGACATAGCTGTTCTACAGTACATGTCGTTCTACAAGTGGGATTTTTTTCACTAACAATATGTCTTAGAGATATTTTTATGTCAGTGTTTAGAACTTTACCTTATTCCTTTTATCTGTCTCATGTTATTCCAAAGAAGGGATAATATTGTTGTAATTAACCATATCTTGGTTGATGGACATTTAGGTAGTTCCTGTTGCTTTACTATTACAAGCAATGCTGTAATGAAAATCTTTGTATATGCCTCTTTATGTACATGTAGATATCAAGTAGTAGAATTATCAAATGCAATGACAAATCTTATTGATATTTTGGTTGATACTACAATGAATTTAGCTTATTTGGGGGAAAATTGATATCTTTATAATGTTAAGTCTTCACATCTGGGAACATGACACATCTTTCTATGAGTGTTATAATTTTTTCACATAGGTTTTACACATTCCTTGCTCAAAATATGTCAAAGTTATTAATTTTCATGTATTGAATTTGTTTGATCCTCAGGTGTTTTCTTTTCTTTCCTCTAGTGATTTCTTGCTACTGGTTTTGAAGGACATTGTGTTACAGAGACCAACTCTTCAAGTTATTCTGATGAGTGCAACTTTAAATGCTGAACTCTTTTCAGAATATTTCAATTCCTGCCCAGTTATTACTATACCAGGTGATTAAAATGTGTCATTAAATATGTATTGTTCTATTAAGCAAATATAGTTATTTTGAAGTTAATTTGAGGTATAAATTAATAGATATTTATACCTCTTTCTAGAGAAGTGAATGGTTTGTAACAAATGAGATCGTAACCATATAATGAAATTAATAAATTTTATATGTGCTTTTTAAAAAAGTCTGTTATTAGGATTTCTAACATTCCATTGTGTTTAACATGAAAATGTGCGCTTATATTGGTAATCTGTCATAAAGAGGGAAGTTGTATCTGTGTGTAGCATATTTGTTCATTGCTGGATCTGCTACATTTCTGGATATTGGTTCACTCTGGCAGAAAGTAAAGTTGGGTAGTCTGGGTCTTCTTTTGATGCTTTCAGTTTCATTTTGGGATTAGTTTATCACCTTGGGCTTTGGTTTATCCTTCTGCAACTGATTGCCAGAGGGACAGTTTGGAAGCACTGACTGATGAATATTATAGTAGTACCCCCTTGTCTGTGGTTTCAGTTACCCGTGGTCAACTGCGATCTGAAAATATTAAATGGAAAATTCCAGAAATAAACAATTCATAAGTTTTAAATTGCATGTTGTTCTGAGTAGTGTGATGAAATCTCACACCATCTTGCTCCGTCCCCACCCGGGACGTGAATCATCTGAAATCAGTCCGCCTGGGACATATATCCACGCTGTATACTCTCCACCTCTTAGTCACTTAGTAGCTGTCTCGGTTATCAGATTGACTGTCACACTATCACAGTGCTTGTGTTCAAGTGACCCTTATTTTACTTACTAAATGACCCCAAAGCGCAAGAGTAGTTGTGATGCTGGCAATTCAGATATGCCAAAGAGAAGCTGTAAAGTGCTTTCTTTAAGTGAAAAGGTGAAAGTTCTCGACTTGAAAGAAAAAAATCATGCTGAGGTTGCTAAGATCTAGAGTAACTTTTATTACAGTATATTGTTATAATTGTTCTATTTTATTATTAGTTATTGTCGTTAATCTCATACTGTACCTAATTTATAAATTAAACTTTACTGTAGGTACGTGTGTATGGAGAATAACAGAATTTATAGAGAGCTTGGTACTATCTGTGGTTTCAGGCATCCTCTGGGAGTCTTGGAACATATCCCCCGTGGATAAGGGGAACTACTGTAGTAGTACTTCTTAATCTAGTTATAGAGGATGTTGACAGTAGATTTAAAGAAGAAATTATATGCTTGATCTAGAATACACTTGTGGAATATTTACCCCAGGGGGAGGAGAGAGGGTGGGAAAGGTATAACAAGTTAAAAAAAAGAGGTAAAAAACAATCTTATTAGCAAACGATCCTCTCTCCACCTGTACACTTCTGTTTTCTTTACTAACTGGACTATATCCCTTCCAATTTTTATCATCAAAATCTTTTTTTTATTGATACTTTTAAGATGGCAGAACAAATAGTGCCTTATTATGCCAAGCTTTGTTTTAAGAGAATTTTACATATAGAAACTATTTCAAGATAGTTCAACAGGTAATCTGAGAGTTTTCTATTTTATTTTCTAGGTCGTACATTTCCTGTTGATCAGTTTTTTCTGGAAGATGCAATTGCTGTGACAAGGTAAGGAAGACATTAATTAAGATTCACTGTAAGTCTTTGTAAACAGAATGCCAGGATAATAAATGTGTTAGTTTTTCTTCTAATTTTTCTATTTGAGCATTTTATTTTCCCCTTTCTTTCAGCAAATATTTATTATACAAATTATTTGCAATTCACAGGCAATATTGTATATTAAGAGTGCTTAATATAAACCCTAATGTAATATAAACCCTAATGGACTTTGAGGATAATGATATGTTGATGTAGGTTCATCAGTTGTAACAATTGTACTGCTCTGGTGGGGGATGTTGATAATGGGGGAGGCTGTGCATGTGTGAGGGACGGGGGTGTATGGGAAATCTCTGTACCTTCTGCTCAATATTTTTCTGAACCTAAAACTGCTCTAAAAATTAAGTCTATTAAAAAATGATGGAAGACCAAATATATGAAAAAAAGGAGTACTGATTCTACAGACAGACTGCGAGTATTTAAATCCCTCCACTTACCAGCTGTAACATTGATGAGTAGCTTAATCTCTCTGTGACTCAGTTTCATCCTATGTAAAATGAGTATGTTAATGGTAACTGCTTCACAGGGTTGTTATGAGGATTGATTAATTAATCAATACTTGGCGTTAATACTTGCAAAGTGCTTAGAACACATAGCACATGCTTTATGAGTGTTAGCTATTACTATTGTCATCATTCCATCTTCAAGGAGTTTGCAGTACAGTGTGAGTGTTAAGATGTCTGTATAATTTCAGTACTGTGTAGAAAATGGTTATGTCTACTGGATATGAACAGATTTCTCTCCTTTGAAAGCCCTGCTTCCTCTTCCTACTCTTTGACCTTAAAGATTCCCCAAGGTTTTATCCTTACACTGTTTCTTCTCACTATTAAGCTCTTCCTTAGCTTTCTTAGACTCATGTGATTTCAGCTGTAGCCTCTGTGCCGAGAACTGCCAGTTCAGTATCTTCATTCCTGACCTCTGGGCTCCAGAATGAAACACCCTTGATGTCTGGCACCTTAAACTCAACTTAGAATTTTTTCCCTTCTCCCTGCTTCTTCCATTCCTAATAAGCCCCACTCCTAATTCTGTATTTATTTAATGGTACAATATTCTCAAGCTAAAAACCCCAAAACAGTGCCTCTCAAACTTTAGTGTGCAATAAGCTACTTAGGGAGCTTGTTAAAATTGTTATTTTCTGGGCCCTATCCCACTTCCATTGAATGTTAATCTCTGGGGAAATCATCTTTCAACTAGTTTACCTGTCTTTATTCTCTTTTTCAAACTCACTGCCTCCAGAATTATCTTAAAACAGAACCAAAAGCATTCCAGTGTGTTCCTCCCCAGATATAGGGCACAGCCAACAGAATCCTGGACTGGATTAATAGCATGTGGAAGAATAGCACATGAATTAGGCAGAAACAGAGCAACATTCTACTGAACAAGCATATAAAATACGTGAATATTTTTGTTCCTCACCAACAGACCCACACACACACACACAGTCCTTTGTCTTCCTTTCTCAGGTATGTGTTACCAGATGGGAGCCCATATATGCGCTCCATGAAACAGATGTCAAAGGAGAAGCTTAAAGCAAGGCACAACAGAACTGCATTTGAAGAAGTGGAGGAAGACCTCAGGCTCTCCCTTCACCTCCAGGATCAGGATTCTGTGAAAGATGCAGTGCCAGATCAACAGTTAGATTTTAAGCAGCTCCTGGCTCGCTATAAAGGTAATGTGCTTCCTGGGGAATATTATAATTATGCCAGAGATAACTAGTTTTTCCCCCCTACCATGATCCAGAAGAAAAACGTGGCTCTTGTTTCATAGTTACATTGTCTTTAATTCATCAGAACTACCTTAAACTTAGAAAAAATAGCAGTTCCAACACATATTAGATTATAATTATTAGACTTGCCAGTGAATTTTTTCCTGATTATTAAAGAAACGTGTTCCTTATAGAAAAATTGGTAGGTAGTAAAATACAAATTATACTCATCAATATTTTGTAACTTTTTATTTTGGTATGATTTCAAATTGAAAATTAAAGAAAAGTTTGCAAGCCTATACAATGAACTCTCAAGTCTATGGATAGACTTCAGGGGTGTTGGTGAAGCCATTAAAATCACATATATATTTCAGGGAAGAGCCATAACTTTTATCATTTTCTCAAAGGAACCTAAGGTTAAGAGTCACTGTTGTAAGGGTGCTGGTGAAAGCTGTGGTCTCTCTCTGTTGATTTTCATCGGTTATTGTTACCTGAACTTCGACCTGATCTGACTCGTGATTTGGTTTAATCTGGAAGGTGTTTCTAAAATGTATTTGGTTTTGAATTTTATGTCTAGAACTTAAAGTGTCAGTAAATGTGTGCTGGATAAAACAGGGGAAGGAAGGAGGAAAGTTCAAAGTGGCTTATCTGGGCCTTTCCAGCAGGGACAGGCGCCTGCTCTTTAGGTCATTGTTCAAGCAAGAAGTGCTTCTAGCGTGAGCCTCTATTTTCTGAGAGACTGAAAGAAAAGAGTTCATTTCAGTACATTAAATGTGAACATCTGTGTTATTAAATCAAATCAAGACAGTTACCTAGTTCACAGGCATATTGTCTTCAACAAGGTATAATTATCCTTCTGATTTTTACCTTTCTTTCAGGGGTTAGCAAATCAGTTATCAAAACAATGTCCATCATGGATTTTGAAAAGGTTAATCTTGAATTAATAGAGGCCTTGTTAGAGTGGATTGTGGATGGAAAGCACTCCTACCCTCCAGGTAACTCTTCTTGTCTTCATTTATGTGTGAGATGGCAAAAGAGAAGGGAGCTTCCTTACTGAGATAATGGGCACTGTGGGTACACCCCCCTTCCTGGAGCCCTCGCCCTCATCCCCACCTTTTCTCCCAAAGTTGTGTGTAAAGTTGCTTATTAGGCTTTTCAGGGGGAAATTTGACCTTTTACTTTTTGAGGTTCACCCACTCTTTTTGCTCACACCGAGCATAAAGTTGTTAACGATACAAAGTCCAAGAGGAAGAAAGCTGAAAAGAAGGCCTGGATAGTCCACATATTAAACACTCAGTTCCTGGCTAAATGGGAGTCTAGTAATGAGTGTTTGAATCACATGAAGACTCTGCACATGGAGGCCACAGGGTAGTGGGGTTAAGAGAACAGGCTTCGGAGTCTGATAAACTTCCCAGCTCTGCTATTCAGGGACTCCGTAACCTTGGATAAAGTCCTTATCTTTCTGTGCTTCAGTTTCCTTGTTTGTAAAATGAAGACAATAATAAATCCTCTTACTTAAAGCTATTTTGAGGATTAAAAGAAACCACATGTAAATTTTAGCACAGAGTCTAACATATAGTTAATGCCCACTAGTTATTAACCTTAATAATGATAATGTTATAACTATAATAATACAGTTATCATTATTATTATTGTTGTTGTTACCACTGTTACTACTACCACTACTATTACACAGAGCAATCACTACTTTCCCCTTATGCACCATCTTTCTGTTCCAGTGGCCTTCTTACCTCACTTGCAGTCCCTTGCCCCCAGAATGAATGGCCCAGATCTCATAACTGAATCCTTCCCATCATTCAGGTTTCTGTCAGATGTCTTCTCTTCAGAGAAGTATTCTCTGACCACCCTATCTGTTTTCTTGCCCCCCACCTACTTTATCATAAAATCCAAAAATGATTTTCATTATAGCACTTAACACTGTTCAAGATTATAGTTCTGCTTACTGATAAATCTCCTTCAATAGAATGTAAGCTCTGTAAGAATAAGGGTTTCTTGTGCACCACAATATTCCTCAGACCCTAGAATGGTGCCTAGAATATTTAGGTATGGAGTAAATATTTGTTGCACAAATAGAACCAGCCAATGTTGGGTGATCATTTAGTGGAATCATAGATCAAAAGATTACATTATGTGTTCATTACACAGTGCTTGAGAGAAATGGGAATGGCTGCCCTCCTCTGCCTAGGCTTTAATCATTATGTGGTATTTTCTAAAGAGATGTGTAAGCCACGTAAAATTATGGAAGTGCCTTGTTTCTCATCTCTTGACAAGTAGCCAGTATTGGCTAATGCATTGTCACCGGACTGAATATCTTGTTTTATGCCAAAGGAAAAGACTATTATTGAAAAAAACCAAGCATAGCAGGCAAAAAGAAATGTTAGATAATTACCTGAATTCAAAACAGTAGATGTAGTGATTAGAGTCAGTGATTTATTTGTGAATATTAAAGATATCCCTGATACAGATGGCCAAGCCATGAGGGCAGAGCGGAAGGCACATAAAAATATAAATAAAAAATATTTTTCCATCTGTATAGATTATTTTACCACTCAAATTTTGTAGTCTTTTAGTAGAAGTATGTGGTATATAATGGAAAGATTATGGATCTGGTGCCAGAGATTAAAGGAGGGGCATGAAGATGGTATTAATTTCCTTTCTGTATAAGTCACAAAAGAAAGGGACTATGGCTTGTGGCATGGAAATACACTATAATCAGTTATCACTGCTTGTTTTCTTTCATGTAAAATTTAAAGGCCCATACTGTTAATATGGCATGGTTAGGTCATGTGTTGCCTCTTCAACATATATCTGAATTTAGATTGCCAGGTTGGCCAACCAATTATAGCTTCTTTTTCTCATTTCCAGTACAATGTTTATGGATTTTATTTACTAATAGAGAGAAGTGTCTTCCTGTCTTAGAAGATTAGAAGGATAACTCTTCCTATAGAAACAGAATGTCGGTGGCTAGTACACTGCAGAAATATGTTTAAAGACCTTTAAAGAATTTTGCTGGGGCCAGCCCGGTTTTGCAGTGGTTAAGTTCGCATGTTCCGCTGCGGCAGCCGTGGGTTCACTGGTTTGGATCCCGGGTGCGGACATGGTACCACTTGGCAAGCCATGCTGTGGCAGGCGTCCCACATATAAAGAAGAGGAAGATGGACATGGATGTTAGCTCAGGGCCAGTCTTCCTCAGCAAAAAGAGGCAGCGGTTAGCTCAAGGCTAATCTTCCTAAAAAAGGGTAAAGAATTTTGCTAATAATTCTAGTATAACTTAAGGCAGTATATTTTTCCACACTTCAGTTTTTCCTGTTTTAGAAAGATAGTAGTATCCCAGTTATTTTGTAGTTATTAAGTCAAAAAACATATAAAAACACCTATCTATTTAAATCCTGGAGGGGTTTACAAAGAAAAGGAAATTGATACTGATAAATCTCAGATTGTTATATTTTTTCATTTCAAAATAGCTTTATACTCCATATTAGTTTTTCCTTTTTTTCATCTATCAGATTGATTCTTTTTATATACTCAGGTGCTATACTTGTATTTTTACCGGGACTGGCAGAAATCAAAATGCTTTATGAACAGCTACAGTCGAATTCTCTTTTCAACAACAGACGTAGTAATCGGTAAGTTAATTACTTTCTGTATCCTATTGCAGTTATTTTCAAAAATGAATAACCAGAAAGGTCTTTTTGATGTTCATCACCCTCTTTAGACCCTGTTATCATTCCTCAAGAATATGTTTGTTTATGCCAGCTGGAGATAGACAAACCTATTTGTTCCAGGAAATCAATCTTTCCCATCCCATTAAATAAAAATATTTCTCTTCACTTAGTGTAGTGACTCAGCAAAATTGCATGTAATTTTAGTTGCCAGATACAGGAGATGGGAGAAGCCAGTGTTATTAACAACAAAGAAATGCAACCATTTTGAGAAAAAATAATTTCCAATAGTTCCTATTTTGATAGCAAGACATACTGTTGTGTCTTCATATCTAAGGGAACAACTACGTGACAGGTGAACACTCCCTAGAAACATAAGAATGAAGTTTCTTAGGATACATCACTGTCTCTGCCTCTTTCTCTGGATTTAGAGGTAGTGGAAAAATGATTCTTTGCTGGTTAGTGTGCTCTAGGCTTGTTACTTACAGAATATCAACTGTTTAGTCCTCTTGATTATTTACTACTGAATTATACTTCAGTTTTCCCCAAGTTGATGCAAGGTTTTTAGTTCATGGAAATGAGTAAATGTTTTGTAAGGATCAGAAAGAACCATCCCATTTAGAAGAGCTGGACCCTGAGGACCAGGGTTGTGGAGAGGCTGCTGATAGTTGGAGTCATATTGTTAGTTTTAATAGAAATTCACCCACTATAATTCAATTTCAGTGTCCTGTGCTACAACATTAAATATGCTTTTATTTCCTTTCAGATGTGTTATTCACCCACTTCATTCATCTTTATCCAGTGAAGAGCAGCAGGCTGTGTTTGTAAAACCTCCTGTCGGTGTAACTAAGATTATAATTTCCACCAACATTGCTGAGACATCCATAACCATTGATGATGTTGTCTATGTCATCGATTCTGGGAAAATGAAAGAAAAGAGGTATTTTCTTTTGATGATATAAGAGGGGGACTAAAGCGGCCTCATTTAGAGGGACACAGCTGTTAATGGCTAATGCTATTAAGCTACATGGATTACTGTTTGAAAAACAGTTTTTGAAAACTATATGTGAATATATGAGTAATTCTATAGCCAGGACCAAAATCAGAGTCACACAGAGGTGGAAAGTTTTGGAAGTAATTAATTATTTTTCCTCTCTTTTTCTCATATGCTTTGCATGGCTTGAATGAAAGAGTTGGTGTGGGAGGTGATGAATATGTTAATTAGCTTGATTTTGGTAATCATTTCACAATGTATACATATATAAAAACATCACATTTTACACCTTAAATATACACAATTTTTATTTGTCAAAAATAAATAAAAATGAAAAAGAGTTGAATAAAGAAACTGTAGGTAGTAGATCTAAATCAGCACTACATGCTCCCACCAGGGACTCAACTATCCCAGAACACACAGGATACTGTGTCTTTATCTACAGAAGTAAGGTGCTTCATCTCTTCTGTCCTTGCTAAGTAGACTTTTGGCCATGTTTTTATAGAATAACTCTTTTTTATTTTCTTTTTCATTATAGATATGATGCCAGCAAAGGGATGGAAAGTCTAGAGGATACTTTTGTCTCTCAAGCCAATGCTCTGCAAAGAAAAGGTCGAGCAGGCCGTGTTGCATCTGGGGTCTGCTTCCATTTATTCACTAGCCATCACTTCAATCACCAGCTTTTAAAGCAGCAGCTACCGGAAATACAAAGAGTGCCATTGGAGCAGCTATGTCTAAGGTACATCTTGATCTTTGTATTCTGCTTCCAGAAGGTCTAAATGCTTCTCACCCTAAGTTCCATGTTTTCTTTTTCTTAGTAGAAGACATTTTGCTAAGAATGGACATGGATGAACTCATTCATTTGCAAAGAAAGAGCTCTTCAGGGTTGCCTCCACCATTCCTTTTAACTTTCTGCACATAAAGATCTCTTACATTGCAGAGGACGGCCCTAAAATAGAGCCTTAGGATATGTTTGTAAGTTAGGAAAGTAATCTCACTCATCGAGAAGTTTCTGCTAGGGACAACACCAATATTAAATCATCACAGGGAGAAATCTACAGCCTCATTATCAGTTAGAGCAAAGTGAACAAAAAAACTTGTTCGCTCCATTACTTACCTGATGAAAAACAAGAAAAAACATCATAAAATAGAATTTAGTGAACAAATGGTCAAACTCAATGTTATTGAAGCCGGGGAACCTTTTGGTTCAACTTTTCTGAAAATGTGCTTGGTGTTATATAAGCACTCTAAAACTATCCGTACCCTTTAACCCAGTCATTACTCTGAGAAAGGACCCCCATTAAGAGTAACCCAAGGGGAGAAAGTTACTTGGACAAAGATGGTATAGCTCTTCTTTTATCCAGCAGGTAGATTTTGAGAGCCTTCTATTTTCCAGGGTTGGGCTAAGCACTAGGGATACTGTAGGAGACAAGACAGTCCTTGCTTTCAAGTGTCCATAGTCAGATCTTAAGAATTTGGGCAAGCAAATGCCTTGAACTGAGACAGAGTGCAAATGAAGAGGAGTGAAGGGATTTGAGAGAGCTTTGAAAGTTGATTGACCCATGAGGGAGGATGAGAGAAGGGAAAAATGTAATATATGTAGCACATAGGATTTAAAAACAGCTCAAATATACAACAATGGGGAAATAGGTAAATTATGTGGGCCAACGTGGTTCATCCTTTTTTTTTTTTTTGCCATTCGAAATTTAAGTAACTGGATTATTCTCAATGCATGTCTTAAAGTGAAAAATCTAAATGAAAAAAAGCTAGGTATCAAATATGTACACAGTAAAAATGTAAAATTGTATGTTTATAGGCTGACAGCTTAACAAGGAATTAAAAGTGAAATAAATTTTATGTATTTAGATTTTTGTCTTCTGAAAATTGCTTAAATTTATAATTTGAAACAGTAGCTTTTCAAGAGCTGTCACAAGGCAGGACACAATGCAGATTAATTTTATAAACAATTACCATGCAGTTTCAGATGTGGGAAAGAGAGTAAGTGGACCATTTGAATTTCGTTTCATAATTTGAACCCCCTATTATAGAAAGAAGTATTTTCAAAGTTTATAGAATTTTATTCTGAATCTCAATAAGTTTCAGAATCTGAAAGTGTTTCTGCAGTTTATTGCTAGAAGAACTAGAAGACAAGAGATTTTTTTAAAAATTTATTTCAACTAGCATTGTCTGGTTTATGAAAGCATATATATTGGGAATTTTAAATTATTTTCATTCAAGAAAAAAGCTTACTCCTTTATGTCATCTTACCAGAAATAAAATTGACAAATTATGATTTGGTTTTCTTTTTTCAGAATTAAAATTTTAGAGATGTTTAGCACTCATAATCTCCAATCTGTGTTCTCTCGACTCATTGAACCACCACACATTGAGTCTCTCCGTGCCTCAAAAATACGATTACGAGACTTGGGAGCATTAACTCCAGATGAGAAACTGACCCCTCTAGGGTATCACTTGGCCTCTCTGCCTGTGGATGTGAGAATCGGCAAACTGATGCTGTTTGGGTCTATCTTCCGCTGTTTAGATCCAGCTCTCACCATTGCTGCCAGTTTGGCTTTTAAGTCTCCTTTTGTAAGTAGACAACATTCATCTAAACTGGAGTCCGTAGGTCTCTAAGGGGACCCTGGGGGCTTCAGGGGTATGTGAGCCCCCTAAAAATTTTCCTGTGAGTATGTTGTATGTGAATTTCTCAGAGCACAAAATCTGTAACTTTTATCTGATTCTCAAAGAAATCCATGCCCCCAGTAAAGATTAAGAACTAGAGATCTAATTTATTAAAATAATCTAAATGTGCTGTTCATTGTATCTGCTGTACTTGGTCATTATAGAAAATAAGAAAATGCAAGCAAGCAAAAGGTGCCCCTGATGATCTTAAAGGGCAATGAGTACATTGGGCCACTTTTTTTAATAGCTTTATGAAAATATAATTCACCCATTTAAAGTATACAATCCAATAGTTTTTAGTATTATGCAGTCATCACCATAGTCAGCTTTGGAACATTTTTATCACCTAATAAAGAAACCCTTTAGTTATCACTCCCCCATTCCCCTCCAATCCCCTCATCCACTCCAGTCCTAGGCATCTACTAATCTACTTTCTGTCTTCATAGATTCGCCTCTTCTGGACATTTCACTTTAATGAAATAATATAATACATGGTTTTGTGACTGGCTTCTACACTTAGCATATGCTTTTAAGGTTTATCTATGTTACAGCATGTATCAGTACTTCATTCCTTTTACGGCCAAATAATATTCCTTTGTATGGATATACCACATTTTGTTTATCCATTCAGCACCTGATGGACATTGGGGATTGTTTCCACCTTTGGCTGTAAACCTTCTTGTACAAGTTTTTATGTGGACATATGTTTTCATTTGTCTTGGGTATATATCTAGGAGGGAAATTACTGGGTCAATGGTAACTCTCTATTTAACTTGACGAACTTCCAGACTCTTCCAGAATAGTTGTATATTACATTCCACCAGCATTTTATCAAGGTTGCAGTTTCTCCACATTCCGATCAACACTTGATATCATCTGACTTATTTATTATAGCCATCCTCAGGGGGTGTGAATTTATGGTTTTGGTTTGTATTTCCCTAAATGGCTGATGATACTAAACATCTTTTCATTTGTTTATTGGCCATTTGTATATCTTCTTTCAAGAAATGTCTATTCAGATTCTTTGCCCATTTTTTAATTTTTCATTATTGAGTTGTGAAAGTTCTTTATATATTCTGGATACAAATCTCTTATCCCTTATAATTTGCAAATATTTTCTTCCATTCTGTGGGTTGCTTTTTCACTTTCTTGATATGTCCTTTGAAACATAAATGTTTTTAACATTGATGAAGTGCAGTTTATCTAGTTTTTTGTTGCTCAAGCTTTTGTTGTCATAGGTAAGAATCCATTGCCACATCCAAAGTTGTGAAGATTTATCCGTGTGTTTTTTCCCAAGAGTTTTATAGTTTTAGCTTTTACATCATGGTCTTTGGTTCATTTTGAGTTAGTTTTTGTATATGGTGTGAGGTAAGAGTCCAACTTCATTTTTTTGCATGTGATTATCCAGTTGTTCCAGCACCATTTGTTGAAAAAACTGTTCTTTCCCCATTAAATGGTCTTGGCATCCTTGTCAAAAATCAGTTGACTATAGATATATGGATTTATTTCTGGACTCTTGATTCTGTTCCATTGAGTTATATGTCTATGTTTATGCCCGTACCACATTGTCTTGATTATTCTAGTTTTGTACTAAGTTTTGAAATCAGGAAGTATGAATCTTCTAACTTTGTTCTTTTTGTTATTTTGTTGAAGATTTTTACGTCCATATTCATAAGAGATATTAGTCTGTAGTTTTCTTGTGATGTCTTTGTCTAGCTTTGGTATCAGAGTAATGCTGGCTACATAGAATGATTTGGGAAGTGTTCCCTCCTCTTCTATTTTTGGAAGAGTTTGTGAGGAATTGGTATTAATTCTTCTTTAAATGTTTGGTAGAATTCAGTGGTGAAGCCACCTGGGCTTTTCATTATGGGTAGTTTTTTGATTACTAATTCAGTCTATTCACTTGTTATATGTCTATTCAGACATATATTGTTAAATATGTAATATGTAATATTATATGTAATATATGTAATATATATATATTGTTTCTTTTTGAGTCAGTTTTGATAGTTTGTATTTTTATAGGAATTTGTCCATTTCATCTAAGTTACCCAATTTATTAGCATGCAATTGTTCATAGTATTCTTTTTGTAGTCTTTTTAGGTTGATAGTAATGTCCCCTCTTCCATTTCTGATTCTAGTAATTTGAGCCTTCTTTCTTTTTTTCTTGGTAAGTTTAGCCAAAGGTTTGTCGATTTTGTTGATATTTTCAGAGAACCAGCTTTTTGTTTCACTGAGTTTTCCCTGTTGTTTTTCTATTCTCTATTTTATTAATTTCTGCTCTTTTTTACTTTCTTCCTTCTGTTTGCTTTAGGTTTAGTTTGCTCTTTTTCCAGTGTCTTAAGCTGGAACTTTGGGTTATTGATTTGAGATCTTTCTTCTTTAAAATAGACATTTACAGCTATAAATTTTCTTCTAAGGACTGCTTTAGCTGCATCTCCTAAGTTTTGATTTGTTGTGTCTTCATTTTCATTTATCTCAAGTATTTTCTGATTTCCCTTTTGAGTTCTTCTCTGACCCGTTGGTAATTTAGGTATGTGTTGTTTAATTTCCACATATCTGTGAGTTTCCCAGTCTTTTCTATGATTGATTTCTGATTTCATTCTGTTGTGGTCAGAGAACATACTTTGTATTATTTCAGTCCTTTAAAACTTATTAAGTTTTGTTTTACAGCCAAGTATATGGTCTGTCCTGGAGAGTATTCCATGGGGACTTGAGGGGAATGAATATTCTGCTGTTGTTGGGTGGAGTGTCACTGCCTTTATTTTCACCATAGCTTGTCTCAGCTAGAGAGGGGAATAGATGAATGGAATCACTTCAGTTTTAATGTTACACTTCATGGAGTTGTAAACTCACAGATCTGCAAAAAGATCTTGATTCAGCCCCCTTATTTAACAACAAATGACAAAACCAAGGACCGGAATAGGTGATATAGCTTGCTCAGGGACATACAGTCCATATGGTTGTGAGCAGGACATCCATTGCTTATTTCTCAAATTATCTAAATAAACCTCTCACTGACTGTTTTCTTTTATTGGAATACAGAAAGAGTTCATTAGAAATATTGATATCATCCTTAGGCAGAACTGAACACCTATCCTTTGCTGGGCTCTGTAAATATAATATTAACTTCCCAAATGTAATCCTTTTCCCACTGGCCTTCCTAAAAAGGAAGGAATTTTATTTTCGAGTAGCTTGCTAAGAGGAGCTACTGCAACTCATGCTGGTGTCTTTAGTACATGTGTGTGTTGGGGTGGGAGGACGCAGTGGAGTTCTTAGTTGTTAGCTAATTTTACAAATTTGTAGGGAGAAGGAGGACTTGTAAACATTATGAAAAATAGGAAGAAAACATTAGTTATGAGTATAGGAGTAGGGGAGCCTCCAGTATAAAAGACGAATAAGAATCTGTAAAATAAAAATTCCACACAGTTAACAGAATTTAAAATTTTAGATGTAGCTTTCAGAATGAGTGGCTCTTCGATGACATCTTGTCACCAGGAACTAAAAGACCCAGTAGAGCTTATTTTGGGTGGGCAGACAGACCCACAGGGACAAATAAGAAAGTTAGCTTGCCAGTTACCGCCTTAATCACGTTTAATCAGCACCCGCTGAGGACTCTCTGTTCCACACAAAACGCTTCCCAAGGCGCCTGGTTTCAGCCATAGGAAAGTGCCATTTGAAAGCTCAGATAAACTGTGTTGTTCGAACCTAGTTTTCTTCATTTAGGTGTCTCCCTGGGATAAAAAAGAGGAAGCTAACCAGAAAAAGCTAGAGTTTGCATTTGCAAACAGTGATTATCTGGCCCTTCTACGAGCGTATAAGGTAAGTATATAATCTAATAGCTGAGGTTCATTACCCAGAGTGGGCACTAAAGATAGAGTTCATTCCTTTTTATTTTCTCCACAATTTAGGGATGGCAGCTAAGTATGAAAGAAGGCATGCGTGCAAGTTATAATTACTGCAGGCAAAACTTCTTGTCAGGAAGAGTTCTTCAGGTAAGTCGTTTCTGCGGCAATTTGTTTTCATTCATTTTCTATTGTAGTAGTTCCCCAGAGGGTGTGGCAACTTGATCTTGCTTGTCCTGCCTTGACATTGAAACTGTTATTTCTGGAACATGCTTAACTTAACCAGTTGTGTAAAACAGACTCCTGAACTACGGATCAGGCCTTCTGTGCTGAACCTTTCAGCTGACCTGTTTTCCCTCTCTTCGGTGAACTTGTGTTTACTGATGTAGAGGATTGGGGAGTATAGGCGCTCTGAAGATTTCTGCTCACTGGAAGTCAATTTTTTCAGTAATTACACCAGGCATTTTGAACCTGGATCCATAAACCCCTGAAGTTGTATGCAAAATCGTGTGCTTACATGTGTGTGCATTATTCTGGAGAAAGAGATCTTGGCTTTTGTCAGATTCTCCAAACAATCTATGACCAACCCCAAACGCCTTACCCTCTCCCCAAAACCAGAGAAGGAATACTGAACCAGATTTTCTTCGTTAATTTTCCCTATGTCCATCAGAGGCTACTATGTCAATAATGAGCACACAAGAAAGAGAAAGGTTCATCATCCTCTGTGTAATAATAGACAGGGCTCTGTCCTCTGTTATGACAGTATTTTAGGCCCTCTTCCAAAGTCATATGAGCAGCTAGAATAATGATGGTGCGCATCTTTGTAAAACATCTGTTTTACTCAAAGATTTTGAGACTGGGGAGCGGGGAGGACTTTATCTTCGTATTAAAAGATGTAGTTACTGCACAAAAATGGGGTTCTCCTACCTGATGCACATAAAGAGCCAATTAATTACAGCAACAGCTCTTGGGAAAAGAGATCAGCTTTATTCTGTGAGATGGATCTACAGGGAAACAGGGAGCGTGTACCCTCAGATCTGTCTCTCTGATTCAGGATTTGGGGTGCAATTTAAGAGGTTGGGAAAACAGGCTGGCATGTGGAAACACTGGTGGGATAGGTTTTGATTGGTGGGTGTCAAGCCTTTATGGAAAGGTTCTAAACATTTATGGTGAAGTGGGGAAGGAATGTTAACACCGGATCTTCCTGAATGATGGACCCCTCGCTTCTGATAAGAGTCTGACTTTTAAGTTCTGTTTATGGCTTAGTCCTCTGGTTCCATGGGGAGGAGAATCTTTGGTTCTGCAGTCATTTCAAGTCAAGATTTCTTCTGCACATGTTCTGGCCACATGACTTTTGCAAATTTTCTGAAAGACAGTTCTTCTTCTTTTCTTTTCTTTTCTTTTCTTTTTTTTTGGTGAGGAAGGTTGTCCCTGAGCTAACATCTGTTGCCAATCTTCCTCTATTTTATGTGGGATGTCACTACAGCATGGCTTGATGAGTGGTGTGTAGGTCCATGCCCAGGATCCAAACCTGCAATCCCCAGGCCACTGAAGCAGAGTGTGTGAACTTAACCACTGTGCCAGTGGGCCAGCCCCTGAAAGACAATTCTTAATCACTCCCTTGATAAGACATGGAGTCAGTTGAACTGGTCCTTCAGGGCCTGTACTTATAATGTCCTGGAGTAGAACACAAAATTAATGTGCTTTGTACTTACCACTACCTGACATTTATTTATTTAAATCTCTATCCCAGAAGCTCCCTCAAGCAGAGACCTTGTCTGTTTTGTTCAACACTGTATCCCCAGTGCCTAGAACAGTGCTTAGCACACAGTTGACGTTCAGTAAAGTTTCATTGAATAAATGCACGAATGAATGAAGTTGGTTATTTAAAACGTAGAGACCTCAAAACCATGCCAGTATTTGCCCTTCATTCTCTTCTGCCTTTAGATGTACTACTGTGAGGTATTTTGAGAAGACAGAGGTTCTACCTTTATTCTAAGTACATCAAAAGCGAGAACTTTCAACCCTGGCTGCACATTAGATTCACCAGAGGAGGCTTAAAAAAATAAATAAGTAAAATGCCCAGATTCTGCCCCAGGCCAGTTACATGTGTATCTTGAGGGGTGGGGCCTGGGCATCTGTTTATCATCGTTGTTGTTGGCTTCACCAAGTGATTCTAATACGCGGCAGGGTTAAGAACTAATGGTCTAAAGGGTATTTTATACGTAAGGTGCAGTAATAAATATTTCCTTAAGTCGTTAAGATTTTTAAGTGTAAAATTATATTTCTTACTAAATTTATTTGTTCCTTTTCTTCAGGATATAAGTAGAATTTGCTGTGATCTATGAGGTCCATCAAACAGAGTTCCCTCTTTTCTTTAAACACTAGCTTAGACTGTAGTATTATTTTTATTACGATATCAATTAAAACCTTGTCATGAAATAGAACTCTGGCATATTTAGCTCCTAGTTATATTTTGCCATGTTATCCATCTATACTTGAGACATTCTGATAAAATACTGAAGTTGTCATCAAGAGACAGGGTAGTGTTGCTTAGCTTTTGGTTCCTTTGATTGTCATTATCTCCTTCTCTATTGTCTGATATACAGCCTATATTTGAACAGAAGCCAGAAGAGAAAGAGGTTTGCGCTTTTCTTTCTCACACTTGTGCTCAGCTACAAAAAGGGGTGTCTAAATCTAAACCACTTAATAATGTCCCTATTCCTAGGAAAAGGTGTGAGCCAGCAGGACTGCAAGGTAAGAGAAAGAGGGAAAGTTCAGAGGTAGGTGCTCTGCATCCATTGAGAGAGAAAACTAACCACTCTTGGCTCGGGTAAGGAACTAAGAGGACCTGAGCAGAAGTGCAGGTGGGAGAAACGAGGCAGTGTCACAGCACCTTGAGCTGGGGTTCAAAACAAAGTAAACTACATTTTTTGTTGTCCTAAGAATTTCCAGGAAAATCAGACCTACCAGACCTACCTTACCTAGAGTTAAAAAAATGATCTTTGGGTTTTCTGAAATTTATGAATTTCTGTGTGACTGTCTTCTGGTTTGTATAAGTACAAACTGCCCTTTTGGAAATGACCAGGCAAGGGCATCTTCATACCTGTTTGATGAACCCATATGAGCCTCCTTACTGTCCAGTGAAGTAATGCATTTTTGTAGTCATTCAATATTGTGAGACTCTACACTTACTTTTAATATGTTGATGCCCCTGCTTAAAGATTTTTCCCACTTCTTTCAGGAAATGGCCAGCCTCAAACGACAATTCACTGAACTATTATCAGATATAGGCTTTGTAAAGGAGGGACTCAGAGCAAGGGACATTGAGAAAAGGGCCCAAGGAGGAGACGGTATCTTGGAAACCACAGGAGAAGAGGTAAAGAACGAGTGTGTAGTTAGTTCTTATTTCTCTTTAATTAGCACATGAATAGTATATTAACTCAGGAACACTTATAGGCTTTCTTCACTAAAGCCCTATGAGCAGTGGGTTAGTGACATTCTTAGTTTTCTTCTTTCCACAAATAAGTGTCAGCTAACACTCATAAAAACAGAAGGGTTTTTCTTTAATTGTTACTACTGTTTTTGTTTTTTAGATTTCACACTGGTTCTTGATATGTTCATAAGAGGTAGAATAGACTTTCCAATAACGTCTTCTGAAATCAGACCAGGCTTTTTCCAGCCAAGGATAATTTTTTGTATGAGTACAAGAAGAACACTTCTTCAAGATGAACCTGATGCCGCTCTAAGTGCAGTTAGTACTTTTTGGAGATTGCAAACATCTCATGAATCAGAATCGTTCTCTCCACCAATCCTTAGGAACACTGGCTTTGTAACTACTTTGCAGAGATCTAAAAAGAGTTACTGGGGGCTTCTTAGAGTGGGTCCTGTGTGAATATGGTCCAGTAGATTTATTTTTAACTTAGAAATAATTTTTCTAGCAAAGGGATGGGAAATAGATGCTTTTGTTTTAAGATGGAAATCAAATGAATTTCTGTCTTAAATTCTTAAGATAGAAATCTGTCTTAAAATCTTAAATTATGGTAAATTCCAGGGCACAGACAGAGGTAGCCACATTACTTATAAGATTAATGCTGTATTTCTCTCATAGGCAAACTCAAATGCTGAGAACCCCAAGCTGATATCAGCAATGCTGTGTGCTGCTCTGTATCCAAATGTAGTGCAGGTAACAAAATTTTTTTCCTGGATCTTCTCACATCTCGTTTCATTTATAGCCAAGGGGTAGAAGTTAAGACATGCACATTAATCATCTTAAAGAGACACACACACACACACACACACACACACACACACACACACACACAGTCTTTTTAGACTTAGTATACATTTCCAATCTTTCAATTTCCCAAACCTGTTTAGATACATTGTTCAAGAACGCATTTATTGTATAAAATGAGATGCCTCTTTAATCTTTCTGACATATTATGACATTCCAGAAATTAAAATGGACGTAAATGTCACTCTGTCAGGCAACCCGTGCATAACTAACCCTTTGTGTAAGAAGAAAGTTGATTCCTCCAGTTTCCCTTCTGCCCCCTACTCTGGACTGAAATTAGATAAGAACAAAATCAGACAAGTCAGTGCTTTGCCATGGGACCCCCTGTGGCCCCTGCTTCTGGAAGCCCTACCTGAATGTACTGTCAGACTTTTACCTGAGTTTTAATTATCCAGTCCTTGTCAAACTCAGAAAGAATTTGAATTTGTCAGAGTACTGAATCGTTTCTCACTTAACTTTTTGTTCAATGCTCAGTTGACATCTGCTGATTAATTTATGGCTCATTTTCTGCTTAGTGTTTGCATGCCTTTCAAACCATTTGAAATTTACTTTAAAAAATCATTTGGAACAAAACTATGGAGACAGTAAAAAGAAATCAGAGATTGAGGGGCATGGATAGGCAGAGCACAGAACATTTTGAGGGCAGTGAACATACTCTGTATGATACTATATTGATGGATACACATCATTATAGATTTGCCCAGACGCGTAGAACATACAAGACCAAGAGTGGACCTTAATGTAAACTATGGACTTTGGGTGATTATGATGTGACAAAATCTTTTTTAATTATAATACTTTTGCTGTCATAAGCCCCCCAAAATGAACATTCTCAGTCTTGGTGGGAATATCAATTGATACACTCTAGATAGCAGTGCAATTTCTAAAGATTTATTCTTAGAAAATAATTGCATCTGTGCATGAAGATACAACTAGGAGAATGTTCACTCTAGCACTGCTTATAATTACAAACAATCTAAAATTCCAGTAATAGGGAATTTATTGGTTAAATTATTATAGATCCTTACAACAAGGTACTATATAGCATTGAAAATTATGTTTTAGGAAAATATTTAACAACATGGAAAAATGTTCTCAATACATTAAGCTAAAAAAGTAGCTTATAGAAAACAATCCTATATTAGTTTCAATACATAGGTATATTTTTATTTATGTGTTTATGTTTTTCTCTATTTCTGTAAATAAACAAATCTAGCAGAGAAAACTAAAATAATATTTATCAAATATTAATGCTAATTATTTCTTAATCTTGTGATTACAGGAGACCTTTATTTTCTTTTTTCCTAATATGTTATTTTCTACAGTAAACATTATTTTTTCAAAATATATATATAATTCATATGTATGTTTGTGTACATAAGCTTCTTTTTAATGAAACAATCTGTTTATTCATATTTTTTTTTTCACCATTTTGAAAGAAATTCATTGGGAAGGTTGGGGTTGGGGTTGGGAGTGATGGTCAGCAGATTCCTGTTCCAGTGTTGCTAGCTGGACCTCTGCACCTGATAATCAGTGCAGACCGGAAATAGCAACATATTTTCTCCCCATGTGGCTGCTGCGTGGTATCATCACCAAGAGCTGTCACACCTACAGGCACACTTCTTGATGGTTAAAAAAGAAAAGAAAAGAAAAAACGTGTGCTTATACTGCTTTCGAAAGGAAACTAAGTAAGAGAGGGAGGAAATTCAAGGGCCTTCAAAAAAGACTGATTTCGTGCCAAGGGTTACTTCTGACAATGGAAATATATATAATATGAATCTATTTTTATAAATACCTGTGTTTAGGTGAAAAGCCCAGAAGGGAAATTTCAGAAGACCAGTACTGGAGCTGTCAGAATGCAACCAAAATCAGATGAATTGAAGTTTGTCACCAAGAATGATGGCTATGTACACATTCATCCTTCATCAGTGAACTATCAGGTCAGAGTGGCAGGGTATACTTGTATTTACAATGGCAGGTCCTGAGGTGAGAAACACAGAGCCTTGAATCAGCCAAACTTATTCCATCACTTATTATCCCCAGCAACACCGCTGACTTGGGGAAGATTGAATAAGCATAAACAGACTGGAAATTGGAGTATTTCTGGAAAGACTATTTCCACTTAAGAAAATTCTGGATATAAAATAATGCTCAAGCCTGCTTTCGGATGTAAAATTGTTTCTTTGCAATAGTGATTTAAGAAGTCATAATCTAATTGCATCACTGAATCTAAGCCTTAGAAGGGAATGACCTGTACTTGCCAACCCCACTTCCTCAGTTCTCCTTCCTCCTTGAGCCTGCTGCTGTGAGGCGTCTGCCTCCACCACTGCGCTAAACGCATCAAAAGTAACCTCCTCGTTGCCAGATCCAATGAACAGCCCCTGGTCCTTACCATACTTGACTCTCACATAGTATTTGACAGTGCAGACCTCCCTTCCCCTTGAAACTACCTTTGGTATTTTTTTGCTTCTGAAACATCGCTTTCTTCTCTCTGCTCATCGCCCTCTATCTCCTTTACTAGCTTCTCTTTCTTTGCCCTGAACTAGTTGCTCTGTGCTTAGTCCTTATTTGCTTATAGCGTACATACTCTTCCTGAACCACCAGAGCACAACATCCTGGATCTAACTGCCACCTAGATGCTGGCACATACCAAATTCTGTCCAGGCCTGGGGTTTTTTTTTGAGCTCTCCTGCTGGGAATCATCAGCTGGGTGCCTTCCAATCACCTCAAATTCAAAGGCTGAAAACTCAAACTCATTGTCTCCCAACTCACTCTTCTCTTTCTGTGTTCCCAGTCTGGTGAATGGCACCATCCAAATCGGAACCCTGGAGTTACACAGAACTTGCTTCTTTTCTCCTTACTCCAGTCCAATTGGTCACCAGGTCCCAGCCATTCTACCTTTTTGACATCTCGGATTTGCCTCCTCCTCTTATCCCCGCTGCCACTTCCTCAGTTCAAACCTCAAACATCTATCTCTTACTGACGTACTATAATAATCTTACTTCTGGTGCTTTCCCTCTCCAACCTTTTACATTACGGCTGCCAGAATTATCTTTACAAGACATCATGTGACCCTTCACATCTGGCCCCTTCTTCTATATCCTCCACAGCTCCCTCCCTTTGTCATTCTGTATGCTCCAGCAACACCAGACTACTAACAATGTCCCCAAATGCCGTGACATAGGGCACACTATTCTCTGTGCCTGGAAGGACATTCTCACTCCCTAGCAGGCTTCTACTTATCCTTCGAGCTTCCACTAAGTATCACTTCCCCAGTGTCCCTCTCCCTTTCAGTTGCTCCTTACTTCTGTTCCACCATCATATAGTGTGATTTGTCCAATGTTGGGCGTATCGCCTTATTGTGTGGTTTATGGTATGTCTCCTTCATGGAATTGTGACATTCCTAAAGATAGGAATTGAATTTTATTCATTTTTACATTCTCTATGTGTAGCACGGTGCCTAGCTGAAAGCAAATGCTCACTAAAGCTTTTAGGAGAGATGAAAGAGAAAAAGAGGAAAAGGGAATGGAGGAGGAGAGTTTGAGGGGTTAGGCCTGGTCAGCCGCCTGGAACTACTGAGTAAAGTGTCAGCAAAGCATGAAAAGGATCTCCTTAAGCTCAGAAGAGTTTAAGGACCAGGAGCTCACCTGCCCTGTCAGCTGCATGTGTACTTAGGAACCAGAGGCCTGAGTTAGCTACACTCCTCCTTCTGCATTTTCCATGACATTCATACAGTGAATCCAAATCATTCATGAATCCATTCACTATCTGCTAGCACCTCCTCTGTGCCAGGCACCGTTGTAGGCCATGGAGGACAGCAGATGAACTAGACAGACAAGTTTTCTGCCCTCAGGGAGCTTACGTTCCAGTGGAGAAGACAGGCAAGAGTAAGTAAACAGTCTCAGGTTAGTGACAAATGCTATGAGGAAAAATAAAACAGAGTAAGAAAGATTAAGAGTGACAGGAGAGGGGCTGTTTTACATGGAGTAGTCAGGGTAGAACTCTCAGGAGAAGGGAATTGAGCAGATCCTAACTGAAGTGAAGGGTGAGCCATGCAGATACCTAAGGAGAGAACATTCCATCAGAGGATATGAGTGCAGAGACCATGAGATGGGAGCATATTTGGTGTGTTCCAGGAAATGCAAGAAGGCAGCCAGTGCAAGTGGCGTGGGATGATTAGGGGCGAGAGTAGTAGATACATTGGGAAATGCAGGTAGGGGTCAGGTTGCATAGGACCTTGTAGGCCGTGGTAAGGATTGCGATTTTATCCTTGATGTTTTGAGCCCTAATGGGATTTATCTTTTTAAAAGATCATTGTGGCTGCTATCAAGATGCAAAAATAGAAGCAGGGCGAGTACTTAGGAAGCCATTGCAGTGGTCTATATGAGATGATGATGGTTTGGACAAGGTAGTAGCTGTAGAAGTGGTGAGAATATGTCAATTCATTGTGTATTTTGAAAATAGAGCTGACAGGACTTACTGATGATACAGATGGAGTGAGGGAAAAAGAGCAATCAAGGATGGCTCCCAAATTTGGGCTTGAGAAACTGGGTGAAGAGGAATTTCATTTACTGAGATGGTGAACACTGCAAGGAGGGGAAAATCAAGAATTCCTTTTGAACACAAGAAGTTTGAGATGCTATTAGATGTCCAAGAGGAGATGTCAAGTAGGCAGTTGCACATACAAGTCTCAGGAGAAAGGTACAGGTTAGAGATAATTTGGGGAGTCATTGGACAGGTGGTATTTAAATACATGGGACTGGTGGACTTCACCTTATGTTGCCAGTGACATCTCTGTTGTCATCTGAGGTTTTATGTTCCAGGTCAGACACTTTGACAGCCCCTACTTGGTGTACCATGAGAAGATCAAAACCAGTCGTGTGTTCATCCGAGACTGCAGCATGGTGTCTGTATACCCGCTGGTCTTGTTTGGAGGAGGCCAAGTGAATGTGCAGCTTCAAAGAGGAGAGTTCATTGTCTCCTTGGATGATGGTTGGATCCGTTTTGCAGCTGCTTCTCATCAGGTAAGGGATAATGGGTCTGTCGTCTGAGGCCTAGGCCATGAGGGGCCTTGATAATATGAAGCATAGGGCATGCCTTCAGGGACCAAGACAACAGAGCTAATTAAGAGTGAAATGATGGGCCTGCAATGGGACACTAAGAAAGACTGAGGCCGTAGTGAGGCCAGAGGTGAAGCCTTAGTAAGAGTTCCAGGAAGCACACTGGGAGTGGCAGCCCAGGATGGGTTGGTGTGAAAGGTTCAGGACAGAAGCTGTGAGTGAGGTGTTGGAACTTCCTAATTATTATACAAGTAATATATGTTTACCAAAGAAAAATCAGAAAATAGAGATGAGCAAAAATAAATAAAAATCACCCTGATTCTACCACTACCATTAAAAAAAAAAGGATGGGGCTGGCCTGGTGGCCTAGTGGTTAAGTTCGTGTGCTCAGCTTCAGCAGCCCAGGGTTCGTGGGTCTGGATCCCAGGTGCAGACCTACACACCTCTCATCAAGCCATGCTATGGCAGCATCCCACATGCAAAATAGAGGAAGATGGACACAGATGTTAGCTCAGGGCCAGGCTTCCTCAGCAAAAAAGAGGAGGACTGGCAGTAGTTAGCTCAGGGCTAATCTTCCTCAAAAAAAAAAGAAGCAGAAATACCAATTCAAACATTAAAGGGAATTTATTGGCATATTTAACTGTAAAGTCTGAAGCAGCACAGTCCAACAGAATTATGTGAGCCACAATGTAATTTTAATTTCTCTAGTAGCCACATCAAAAAAATAAAAAAATAAGTGAAATTAATCAATATATTTTATTTAACCTATCTACAAAGTTTTAATTTCAACATGTAAGCAATATAAAAAATTATTGAGATATTTTACATTCTTTTTTCATACTATGTGTTTGAAATCTGATGTGTATTTTACACTCACAGCACATCTCAATTTGAACCTGCCACATTTCATGTGGTCATTAGATTAGTCATGTGACTAGTGGCTGCCATATTGGATAGGTCAAGAAGGTCAGGCAGGATTGGTTTGATTCAACACCTCAACAACAAAAGCCTGGCTGACCTTGTGGTAGCAAGATGGCTCCAGGAGCTCCTGGCCTCACATCTGTGTGGCATATTGTCCAAAATGGGAGACAAAAAGCTTCTTTCCTAAAAGCTCCATCAAACCTCCTCTGCTAAACCAATTCCGGTGGCCAAAGGAATGTCATGGACTCTTAAGGCCTGTATTACTTGAGCCATTCACCCTGGCAAGGCTCATGGTATGAGCCTGTTTGATTTAGATCAGGGTCCAATCTGCATGGTAGCCAAACAGTGGGGGAGGGGCAAAACAGATGTTGGGAAGACATCTACAATGGTTCTACAACATCAACATAAGCAAATGCCTGAAAACATTTGGAGCTATTTCCCACCTCAAAAGCATAAGATGTATTCCAAAGCTAGAGAGATTTTGTTTGTTTGTTTGTTTGTTTAGTATCCACCATTTTAAGTTCTCCATTTTCCTGCTTCTCCTCTTGGAACAAATTGTAAAAGTTGACCAAGCTTTGATATGAAGAACACTACATAAAAGCCACACTTCCAGAATGAATCTTTTCTTTAAGTGAGATGTGATAGAGGCGGCTTTTTTTTTATAGTTGACCCCATTGAATGTATTACAGAGCTGACAGTGAGTGAATGTTCCTATAGTTCCATCAAGAAATTTTAGAGGCACTTTTAACACTGCTTACAATGCAACTTTCATTTTAGGTGGCTGAATTAGTAAAGGAACTTCGTTGCGAACTTGACCAGCTCCTCCAGGATAAGATAAAAAACCCAAGCATAGATCTGTGTACGTGTCCTCGAGGATCTCGGATCATCAGCATGATTGTGAAACTTGTCACCACACAATAAAGACCAGCCTTAGGAGAGTGCTTGCTGCTCACCTGCTTCTTGCTCACCTGGGAAATAACAGCAGCCCCTCTACCTCCACCTACAACACCCTGTGCTGGGGCTGGCCCTGGAGGAGCCCAGGGCGTGCACTGCTGAGTCAGCCGAGGCACCGCAGACCCTTAGGGAAATTTTCAAGATTGAGTGTTTCTAACAACACAGTGGGCACTCCCAGCACAATTTGGAGTGTCAACAGGAGACAGTCTATAAACCAGCTTGCCTGTCTTTTTTTTTCTGTGACTGTCTTGGAATGATTGAAATTCACTTGATAACATGAAAGTGAATGTTTGGTACAATTCTGTTGTAATCTATGTATTATTTTTCTCCTACTTTTTACTGGGTGAGATAGGGGCATGAGGAGAAATACCGACAGTTTTTCCTGTCTTTTAAAGGCTCGACTGAGAGAAGTCAGAACAGAGAAGGAAAAAAAAAATCACGTGAGCAAGAAAAATTAAAATTTCATTTTAGGCTATTGGCTACTGAGTAAATGATTTGTGAGGGATTTTTATTTTTACTCATTAAAGTTCAGCCTGAAAAAACAAACTTAATGAGCTCTTATTTCTTATTAAAATAAGAGCTGGTCTTATCCATAACACTCTTATTCTTAAAAGCAGAAGAATGTGGGTGTCTTCATTCTCTTCTAGGTTTTCCATTTAGGAATCTTTACACTCTCTTATGAACTCACCAAGATCTAATGGCCACATTTCACGTTACCCAAAGGCGGATCTTAATGGTCCTCTCAGAGCAGAGTTGGCACAGTTGAGGTAGAAAAGGTTGCCATGGCAGCATCAGATTTACAGTCATAAAAATGACCTTCCATGAGAATTGCTTATTTTCAACAACCACTTAGGTTAATGGGGCTCTATCTAGCATTTTGAAAGAATATGAATACGTTTACATATTCCCTGGACATTTGTCAGCGTGGCCAGGAAAAATCCCAAAGAACTGAGTGGAGAAAATATTCTTGTGTTTGTCTAGCCCTCAGGTAGAGAGTCACTACAGGTTCCGTAGTATAGATAGAATTCAAAATAATCAACAAACCACCTCCGTGAAGGGTGTTCACTTTTCAAGGTGTTCTAGTTAAGTTTTCTGGAAGCCTCCTAGACTGTCCAAAATGATTATCATCAAGTGTATTTAAGCTTCAGTGCACTTGACAAGCTTAGACTCTAAGCAGTATTTTTAAAAGGCATTCATTCACATCATCACTTTAAATAAAAAGCATACATATGCATAGCACCCACAGTATTCATGTTCCGACTTGCTATTGAAACCTGGCTCACATAACAGAACTGATTAGGCTGGGACACTTAGGTGAAAGGAAGGAGAAAACTGCACTAAACCTCTAACCTTTTTTCAAACCAGTTTTGACTCTCGGTGCTATAGTAGAGCTCATGCTGCCCTAGCTAGAGCCATCTGCCCAAGCTGACCTGCAGCTTTTAACGTAAGTTTGCAGCAAAGCAGACAGCTTAGAGGTACAGGCAGACCTTGGAGGTACTGCAGGTTCAGTTCCAGGCCACCGCGATAAAGCAAATATCACAATAAAGCAAGTCACACGAGTTTTTTGGTTTCCAGTGCATATAAAAGTTATGTTTTAACTATACAGTAATCTATTAGTGTGCCAATATCATTATGTCTAAAAAAACAATGTACATACCTTAATTAAAAAATACTTTATTGCTAAAACATGCTAACCATCATCTGATCCTTCAGCGAGTCGTAATCATCTTGCTGGTGGAGGGTCTTGTAAAAAAACATAATATCTGCGAAGCACACTAAAATGAGGTAGGCCTGTAGTTAACAACAAAACTTTCATTCAGAGTGCTGAGAAATTGCTCCCTTCAGGGAAGTCATTCTTGGGCTGGTTATTTGCAGCCACATACAAATGCACAAATCCTATCCTTTCATAGATGTACCAGAATGTGAAAAAGATTGGGAAGCCTTAACTGAAGGCATTGAATAAGAAAATCCTCACCCTAAAAGCTAAACTTAAGCTCATCGTTAAAATTATGAAATAAGAAATGGAATAGGATTACTCCTTTGCAATTAAAGATCACACTGCAGTACAGTATTTCAAGGTGAAACTGGATTTGTAAGCCCCATCAAGATGGACAGCACAATGTTAATTTTATGGGAGAACTCTGTAAATGGTTTCTTAAATATTTCTTTTACTTTGACTGGAATCTAGCTAGGGAACGATATTAATAAAGTACTTGCTACGAAATTAGTCTACACTACTGTTTTGTACTATGTTTAACTGGGAAGTTCTCAAGAAATGAGAATAGCTAAACATTCTTATAGAGGTGGTCATGGGTCCTCCTTGAGTTCCATATCTGAATGTTACAACTCAAACTCCCTGACAAGTAATGAACTTTGGTCTTTATCCTCCCATTCTATTATCTGAGCAGGTTTAAATAATCCATGAAAGTACACAGCCTGTGCATCGGTAGGCATATGGTAATGTTCTTTTTCCTTTCTAGGCAGTGGTTTGAATATGTCCCTAAGAGGTTTTCATAAAATAAAGACCTTGTGAAAGTACTTTGTAAAATTAAAATACAGCAAATGTAAGCAAATTAGGACCAAGGGTGTGGTTTTCGAGGTAGCCCAGGCTGGCTTTCTGGGGGCCGCACTCTGTGTTGTGTTCTCTTAGTTGCTGGGCTGAGAGCTGGAGAGCTTGGGCTTCACCCTCTGAGGGTGTCTTGTGGGTGTCACCCAGTTGCCACATAAATAATGGATTCCTGAGGACAGCCGAATATGCTCACACTGCCGTTATTATGCTTGAACAAGCCTAGGCATAGGCTGGCTCTTTCCTCCTAAATCAAGCTAGAAATAAGCATAATTCCTAGGCTTATTTTCCCCCAAAGGCAGGGGGAAAGTTTGATTAAAATATTTAACTAGTTAATTAACACAAGCTGAGCCGTTGTTTTCAGAAGTTAGATCATGATCATCAATCTGTGTCAGTCAATATTTGAGTGCTCACAGTACAGAGTGCCTCAGGCAGAAACAACACAGAAACACTTAAAACAATTTATTGTCACAGCAATAGTTGCAGACTGTTCCAGAGTGACAGCCTTCTTCCATGTCTTTCAGTCTCACAAACATGAAACTATGCAATGACTGAACGATTAACCATGATGAATCCTTAATAGGGAGAGACTTTTTTTCTTGCCAATTCAAGTCCAAAACAATATAGCAAAGAGATTGGTCTTAAGTAGGATTTGTAGCCCATCACTAATCCTTAAGGTGCTTTAAAATCTTAGATGTTTTAATAATTTGTTTTATCAAAGAGCAGACAAAGAGTTCTTTGGGAGAATCACTCGTGCACTATATATGAACCTTCAGGAACGAGTGGAATCGACATTTCCTAAGCATACAGGACTGCAACCCAAACATGAACTTGTTCCCACAGACAGTTTGGGCTCTGCCCCATCTGCGCCCAATTTCGTCTAGTCCTTTGGTCTACTCTTTGCCAGCCCCAGGTCTATTCCTGAGTCAGTTCTAACCCAGCTAACTGAGTAAATAAGCTAGAACACAGTGCCCCAGTGAGATAGCTATGAGGAGGATGGCTTAGAATCAATTGACTGGATCTTTTCACCTCTATTTCAACTTTTTAGGAAAGAAACAAATGGTGACAAAAGCCAGTTTGACGGATTTGTTTGAAAAAGTAACTTCCAAGGGGTGGCCTTGGAAATTCAGCCCAATCCCCTAACTGCCAACAAGAGAATCAGTGTTTAGGATGATGACCCTGACATATTACAAACACAACATTGCTAAATATGGTAGAATACCTTATTTAATAAACATTTTCAATAGAAGCAATTCAAACAGTGAGGGTTTTATTATTATTATTCCTTATGCAGAAAAAGCAGTCACTGCTACCTCCTCAAACCTAGGTTTTACTGAAATTGCCTGAAGGAGTTAATTTTCCTTCCACGTTGAATGAACTTATTTTATAAAGAAGAAATTATTCATGGCCAGTTTTCTTCTACAATAATTCAAGACAGGATAACTTAGCCCAAAAAACTCACTTATTTCCTGAGAGTCCCCTTTTAATAAGTTTTGCCTCATTCCATCCGTGGGTTTCAAATGTAGCTTAACAAAAGTGTCTGTTAACCTTTCAAATAAGACTTTAGTTGTCCACAGAGGTTGATTAACTATAATAAATACAGGACCTTATCATGTACAAAGACTATAAAGAAGTTCCCTCACAGGAGAAAAGGTAGATTTTGTTTGTTTTAAACCAGTGGTTCTCAACTGGGGGCAGTTTTGCCCACCAGGAGACATTTGGCAATATCTGGAGATGTTGTCACAACTGGCGGGAGGGGCAGGAAGGATGCACACCTGGCATCTGGTGGTTAGAAGCAAGGGATGCTTCTAAACATCCTACGATGTACAAGATACCCCCCAACAAAAAATTATCCAGTCCAAAATGTCAGTAGTGCCAAGGCACAGAAAACCTGTTTGAACAAAATGAGATAGGTAACCACTTAGAAAGTCTAGCTTAGTTATTAGTCAGACGAAAGTGATGCCCATAGTTGTCTCTGAAAATGTAAATATATTTGGACTAATGAAAGCAAAATCTCTAACAAATCAACTCTAATAAACATATACTGTGTGAATATGAGCTTGTGAGACATCATTTTGTTACCAAAGTACAAAGCACTTAAGAATTTGAGGAAATTATATGTACAAAGGGGAAAAGCCATGCACAGATGGGTAGGGATATCTTTACTTCAAAAATATCTTCTACCGTTAAATTTTGTTTTGTTTTTTAAAAAATCACTTATTTTGAAAATACAAAAATAAGTTAAAACATGCTTTTTGAAGATACAACTTGTATGTGACACTAACACTGCTAACACTTTCCACTGCAAAACTCAAGTTCTCACAGTTAGGTCCACATTAAAATATTTAAAACACACACACACACTTACCTTACCTTTGTGTTATCTGAACAGAGTCCAGCCTAGTAGACTTTGGCCAATATGCTAAAACACAAATAGGGTTAAAAAAAGGGAGGATGGGAGTATATATTTCCATAGGTATACGACTGTAAAATGTTTAAATTTAACAAGAAGCCTAAGTAGGAACTCTAATTTCTAGGCTCCTTCTCCTATAATTTGAACTGGAAAAAGTCTGTTTTTTTTAGGATTTTATTATTAGTACGATTACCAGACTGAATGTCAAAGATGTGTTATGCCCTTTAGAAGACAGATGTCTTTACAAATCAGGGGCCATGCGATACAGTGGGCACCAAGGGACTATCCCATATGAGGAGGAAACTAATCCACTGATTACAGACCTAGCACAAAATAATCTATAATTATAGATGTTTCTGTTAAGGCTGCCCTTCTGTCTCTGAAATTCACCTGTGCACTTTCCCATTTAAACTCAAGCTGTCCCCATTATTTGTAGCCCATAAATCTTTATACCATCCTTTTCTACAGTAAGCATGACTAAGACTGGATTAATTGAAGCATGCAATCTGATTAGTTAACAAGGTTAGGCTGATTGTCCAGTTTATAACTAATGTGTGCTACATGGCTAGTTTGAGACCCAAATTGGGGTTGCAGAAATTTTTCCCACATTTATGCTCATAATATCAATATAACCAACTTATTTTAAGCAGGTGCTATGTGCCAGTCACCCTACGAACTGAGGATACAAAGATAAACAGGGACACAGGAGAAGCAGGACAACAGAGAAATAAAGTTTACTTTATTTCAACAAATTCAGTTAGGAACATAATTTACCCCGGGCAGGAGCCTCTGAAGGTTCGAGAGACTGGATGCCTGTATGTTGAAATTCAAATAAGGCTGCTACTGGCTTCCACCAAGTCTCTTAATTCTGCTTTTTAACACTCTCCTCTCATTCAACAATTACGTGTACTTCTTTAAACCCTGTGAGCAACTTCTGCATATTAATAAAGAAGAAGCTGTAGGGAATAAATTTATGACCTACTCATTCTCAAAATGTATTTGAGGGGCTGGCCCAGTGGTGCAGTGGTTAAGTGCACATGTTCCGCATCGGCAGCCCAGGGTTCACCGGTTTGGATCCCGGGTGCGTACATGGCACCACTTGGCAAGCCATGCTGTGGTAGGCGTGGCACATATGTTAGCTCAGGGCCAGTCTTCCTCAGCAAAAAGAGGAGGATTGGCAGATGTTAGCTCAGGGCTAATCTTCCTCAAAAAAAAAAATGTATTTGGGTATTGTTAAGTAAAGAAAGAGGAACTCAAAAGCGTGTGTATAACAAATGAGTTCAGCAAGGCCATGGGATACAAGATCAATATACAAAAACCAACTATTTCTATATACTAGCAATCAATTCAAAAATAAGATTAAGAAAACAATTCCAGGGGCTGGCCCCGTGGCCGAGTGGTTAAGTTCGCGCGCTCCGCTACAGGCGGCCCAGTGTTTCGTTAGTTCGAATCCTGGGCGCGGACATGGCACTGCTCATCAGACCACGCTGAGGCAGCGTCCCACATGCCACAACTAGAAGAACCCACAACGAAGAATACACAACTATGTACCGGGGGGGCTTTGGGGAGAAAAAGGAAAAAATAAAATCTTTAAAAAAAAAAAAAAAATTCCAGTCACTATAGCATGAAAAAGTACCTAAGAATAAATTTAACAAAAGAAGTATAAGACGTGCTTTGAAAACTGTAAAACACTGTTGTAAGAAAATTGAAGATCTAAACAAATGAAGAGACATTCTAGTTCATGGAATGGAAGACTCAATATTATTAAGATGACAAGTCTCAAGTTGATCTACAGATTCAACATAATCCCTATCAAAATCCCACAGGCATTTTTTTCAGAAACTGACAGTCTCATCCAAAATTTATATGGAAATACAAATGAGGCAGAATAGTCAATCTTTAAAATAAGCAAAGTTGGAGGACTTACACTTATAGATATCAAATCTTACTGTACAGCTATAGTAATTAATACAATGTGTTGCTAACATAAGGCCAGACATATAGATCAGTGGCACACATCTGTGAGCCCAGAAATAAACTCTCACAATATATGATCAACTGATTTTCAACAAATGTCCCAAGACAGTTCAATGGAGAAAGAAAAGTCTTTTCAACAAATTGTACTGGAATAATTGGATATCTTCATGCAAAAAGATGAACTTAGACCCTTACCTCACTCCATACACTAAAATTAATTCAAAATAGTGCATAGGGGCCAGCCCAGTGGCACAGCGGTTAAGCAAGC